GATCGTGGATCTACAGCCCTTGTGCCCGCCAGCTCGATTCAGACCCGGTTTTACTGTGCCCAGGCCCTTCTGGCGGATGCCACGTACAATGTGCCCTCATTTTATAAGCTTGACGGCCTACTCCCAGACGCAGTTGAATCGGCCATCGTGTCTATTCTAGATGATCATGCCATTTTCCGAACCACGTTTATCTCTGACGGCGACGCATTGCGACAGAAACTGCATACTACCTCTCAAGTAGAGTTCCGGCGATGTGATCTTGCCTCCTTGGACGGGAATGATGCAATGCACTTTATGCGGGATATGTGTATCAAGGATGCTGCAACCGTGTTTGATTTGGAAGAGGGGCCACTGGGCCGTGTCATTCTCTTCCTGCTCCAGGGAGATTCTGGCTTTCTGTTTCTCAATTTCCACCACATCATCATCGATGAGCAGTCCATGCGACAACTTGTGCATGAGGTTGCTCGACGAGCAGGTCACAATGACGCAACACCTGTGGTAACCACCAAGGGAAGACCGCAGTATGCTGACTTTGCGGAGCAAGAACAGAAGCTCCTCCAGAACCCAGATACGCAAGCCGAGTCAAAACGCTTCTGGCAGGAGTATCTGTCGAATCTCACTCCGGTGAACATTCCGCCCTTCCATGTCGGATCGGGCCAGCCGCAGCGTGCCATGTGCCACTACGACTTTACCTTGCCCCAAGAGAGCCTCAGTTGGATCCGCAAGCAGGGGCTCACCAACTTCTCTGCCTTTCTCTCTCTATACATGATCCTGCTGCAACGTGTCTGGAACCTAGCCGATGCCACAGTCACAATCCCTGCCTCGCAACGAGCCGACCAAATTCCCACCGACATGTATGGGTGCTTCATCAACACCGTTCCGGTGCGTGCGCAATTGTCGGGGGCTTGCCTACTTGGACCATTCCTCAAGTCGATGTCTCGCAATTTATTCCAGGTGTTGCAAAAGTCATATCTTCCTTACGACCAAATACTCGACGCTGCCAAGATTGGCACACATGATTTGCCTCTGATGTTTGTCTACCATGAGACCTCTAAGGATGTCTTTGACGGGTTCATCGACGCACACAACCTGCTTCGCGAGACAGACAGTGAGACTTCCGGACAGTCTAAGTTCCCCGTGACCTTCTCTGTGACCCTTGATGAGCAGAATGAGCTTTGGAATGTCAGTCTTAATGTGGAGTACGACATGAGTAGGATCCAGGGAAAATCAGTCGATATACTGTGCGAGCATTTTGAGAGCCTGCTTCATGCAGTGAGCCAGTGCGCCGATGATATTCGGATTGGTCACTTGGAAATTCTCACGCCGGGAGAGAAAGAACTTGTGGAGATTCAACAGCGAACGATTGACGCGGTCGATCGAAAGCGAGCCGCTCCCAAATTTGTTCACCTGCTGGTGCGTGATCAAGCTGCACAATTTCCCGATCAGATCGCCTGCGATTTCGAGGGTAAAGAAACAGTGACATACCGGGAGCTTTGGAACAAGGTCGAGCACATTTCCGGTGGATTGATCTCTTTCAGACAGGGAGTCGACAACAAGGTCGGTATCTTCATGGATGCCGGGATTGATCGCATTGCCTCAATTCTGGCTGTCCTCAATTGCGGAATGGCATGGGTACCTCTTGAAGTGAGCCTTCCTGTCGCTCGACTCGTCACGATCGTGGAAGACTGTCAGCCCCAGGTGATCTTGACGGCACAGACCCTGGAAAGCGAACATAACACGGTCTTGCAGGAGCTACACAAGGCCACCGCCCATTGGGTTCCTCTGTACAATCTCCCCTCAGCAGTGCCCACTACCGAAGCGCCTGCTGTTGTCGCTGACCACCTCCAACCAAGCGATCTTGCCTACATTTTATATACCAGCGGATCTACCGGTAAGCCCAAGGGGGTTCAAGTAGAGCATTTCCCTCTGCTCAACGCGATTCTGGCCTTTCGGGCCTTGTATGAGTGTGGGCGGGACAGTCGGTTCTTGCAATTTGTTCCATGGACTTTCGACATCTCGATCATGGATGTCTTCGCATCCTTGACAACCGGTGCCACTCTGTGCCTGGGTGGTAAAGAGTTCCTCCTTTCCAACCTCAACTCCATCTTTTCTCGGATGCAAATCACCCATATCTTGGCATCACCGACGATGATGAGCCTTCTCACTCCCGAGGAAGCTCCGACCTTGAAGGTTCTGTCCAGTGGTGGTGAATCAATGACCACCAAGGTCCGTGATGTCTGGGCCGACCGAGTCACCGTCTTCAATGCTTTCGGACCCACCGAGACCTGTATTTACAGCCTGGTGTCGCGTGTGCGTCGCGACTTGGAGCCCAACAATATCGGCTTACCGACTGCGGGAAACACGGCGTTTATTGTCAATGAAGAGCTCGGGTTGTGTCCGGTTGGAACAATCGGACAGTTGGCCATCGGAGGAGTTCAGCTTTCTCGTGGATATCTCAATCGCCCGGAAGAAAACCGTGCATTCGTGGATCACCCTCAGTTGGGACGTGTTTATCTAACCGGTATGTATCCCCTCTGAAATCCAGTTTGCATTGAGCTGACAAGTGCTAGGCGACTATGCTATCAGAAATCATAATCAATCTATTACCTACCTGGGCCGCATGGATACTCAGACCAAAATCCATGGCCAACGCATCGAGCTCGAGGAGATTTCCAACACTGCTCTCTCACATCCTGCGATGCATAATGCACTTGCTATGGTTGTCGATCGCGGCAACACAAGCCATCTGGCACTCCTATTCGAACCCAGTGGACGAGGGTCCGCCGGGAGACAGGCTGAGATGCAAGCTCTCGATGCTATGGACTTCCAGAGCACTGTCTCGGAAGTTCACTCCAAGCTCCTCTCCACCCTCCCCCGCTACGCTGTCCCAAGCTTGTGCATTCCCGTCTCATTCATGGCAATGAATGTAAACGGCAAGACGGACAGAAAGCGGGCCACTGCTCTTGTAGCCGACCTAAGCGATACCCAACTGTTGTCGTACAGTGTCGAAGCCCATGAGCAAGGAGCAAACCTGCCGCTAGAGACCGAGCAAGAGTTCCTGATCGCTGACGCGATGCGTCAGGTCTTGAAAGCCCGGGATATCTTTGCGAACAGTAACTTCTTTGCCATGGGCGGAACGTCCATCTCTGCCATTCGTCTTTGCTCAATTCTAAGACGATCTGGATTCACCCTGATTGTGAACCACGTCTACGCCCATCCGACGGTAGCCGAGCTTGCCGGCAACGTTAGGTACAAGTCTCCTGTGAACATGGTTTCAGACACCAAACTCACCAGCTGGGGTAACATCCATCCGATTCCGATCATGGACTGGTACATCGATCAGCAGAAGATCAATCCCAACTGGAACAATCAGGCTCACCTGCTCCAAATGGCTCGCTCGGTAACTTTCACTGATACGGTGGAAGCGTGGCAGGGCATCACCGGGATTCATCCTTCTCTGCGCATTCGATGCAATTCCACTTCGGCGCCACCCAGGCTGTATATTCCTATCCATCCATCGTCCCGGGATTATGCCGTTACGCGTCACTCCGTGCCCTCCGAGGAAGCGATGGAATCGATTATCCCACAAACGCAGGCTTCACTGGACATCACCAAGGGACCCGTTTGTGCTTTGGCATGGATCGAGACCCCATCAGCAACCTACTGTCTCATTATAATCCACCATCTCGCTATCGATATTGTCTCATGGCAGGTCATATTCGACGACCTCGAACAACTTCTCTCTGGAGAATCGATCTTGCCCGAAGGCGATTCGTTCCGTCGCTGGTCTCTGCAGGTACGCGAGAGACAAGCGTCGGCTCTCCCCGGGGCCTTGAATACTGCCAAGGGTCTAGAGTCACAACATGAGAACTATCTCATCGTCCCCGACTTTGTCTCCCGGCGCCACCGGAACACCCAATCCACCGTTGCCATCGTCGAAACAAGTCTAGCGGCAGATCTGACCCAGCTCTGCCTAACCGATGCCAACAAGATGCACAGCACCGAGCCGGTCGAGCTCCTCCTGGCGGGACTGGCCCTCGCCCTCTCCCGCTGGCGACAGATCAGCCGGTTCGAGCTGACGCTCGAATCGCACGGCCGCGAGCTCCAAAACGAGGCGCTCGACCTGTCGCGAACCGTGGGCTGGTTCACATATCTCTACAACGCAGTCTTCACCATCCCTCCCAGCAGAGCGACCGACAGTGGTAGTGACAGCGAGAGCACGCACGGCAGCTACACTCACAGTGACAGCGACAGCAACAGTGGGCGCAGCCGCACCCGCGACAAGACAAGTGTTATTCCTGCACTGCTATCGGTCACCAAGGCGACGCGCCGCACGGCCTCTCAGGGCACAGACTTTGCCGTCTCGAGCAGTTCGGGCGCGGCCGATACTCCAGTCCTCATGTTCAATTACGCCGGCGCGTACCACACCGGCAACACGGGTGGGCTTTTCCACGCGGTCAATCTGCCATCGGTGGAGACGTCTATGGACGACCCCCGGAACATTCGGCCGTCGGTGCTGGACTTCAACTGCGCTGCAAAGGATGGCGTGATGGATTTGAGTATCTTGTACAGTCAAGCCTTGCACGGTGAGGAGGATGTGCAGGCGTTGCTAATGAGCTGGAGAGAGGCTATGGAGGAGATTATTGAGGAGTGTACTGGTTGCTGAGCGAAAGGGGGGTCGTCAGGAAGGTCAGGTTGGGAGCGCTGTGTTTTATTCTCTGCTCCTTTTAACGTTGATTGCATGTTGAGCAAAACCTATCTGATTCAATCAGTAAGGCAAGCTGATGTGAAGTACGCTTAGTCAGTATTTTCTGTTTATAATTTTTCTTATCTGTCTGCTTCCTTCTGACTTTCTGTTTCTGAATATTGTAACGAGATACCATGGACTCGGGTAAACGGAGATTGCTGATGATAATAGCGGGATGTATATGGGAAGAAATGCAGACAGGAGACGAAGATGACGAAGACTGATACCTAAGCTCTCTTTAGTGGCTTGGAAATTACTGAGTGCGAATGGCAGGAGCGTCCGTCCACTGCATTAAGCCGCTTGTCAGCCCAAATCCTTCCTGTTACCCAAAGCCTAGCTGACGGTGTTCTGGCATTACACCATCTGAGGCCTATTGACGCCGGTCCGTGTCTGGTACTATAGCCCGCTAGTATAGTACTACGCACATACAGACAAAATGAGCTCACTTGAGAAAGGGGTAATTAAAGAGGGTGGTAACAGGCAGCAAGGAAACCTTTCTAGCTAGAGAGACAAAAAAGAAAAACATACAACAGAAGGGATTCGCTGGTGGTCACCCACCCAACTACTAACCTCCCGGCGTGTGGCTTGAGTACGGCTGAGCGGACGGGAAGCCCTATTTTCCACACCCTGTGGTCGTATGTGCTTGAAGCACATCTACTTACATTCATATACAGCAAACAAGATAGAAGTGTATTGAGTACTCATCTGACAACCTGCTTTCCATTGCAAGAAAGCGTATTTGGCATGCAGCAAGAACCCCAAACCCCCATCGAGGGAGCCTGTTCTGCTCGCGCCACTCTTGGATTTGACTGGGGACCACAGCCCCCGTATACACCTTTTGCGGGTGCTCCGCCGCCAGCGGCCACAGGTCCCACAGCTGCGCCGACTGCATCATCGACATCGCATACAGTTCACTCCAGACCAGGTTCCCGAGAATCCGCATCTGTCCGGTGTAGCCAGGTGACACTGCCTCGGGAATGAGTGACGGCGCGAACTCTGCGTCAACGGCGAGGAGGTGGGGGCGGAAGTCTCTGGGGAGTCTGTCCTGGTCTGTTCTGATGTAGGAGCTAGCGCTCCAGGGGTCGAGCATGAGAAAGCTCAATTGGTTCAGCAGCGGGTGTTGTGTGCGGAGGATACGAAAGTGGCTGCGTGATGCCCGTGGGCCGGGTTAGTAGGCTTTCCTTAGGATCTGAGAGGCATGAATAGGGACAAGAGTGGACGTGGGACGAGCCTTCGAACGGCCTCGGTATCCTTAGGATCGATGCCCAATTCCCTGCAATCGAACCACCGGAGTTTCAAAAGGGGCTTCTCCTCCTCCGCGCCCGGCTCGCCGACTCCCCACGCGGCCACTTGCTCTTCCACCTTTGCTTTCACAACCTCCCACTCCTCGTCTGAAATATTATGATACGCCGCGCGGTAAACGGCGAATCCGATGGTCTGCGCCTCGGCATCTTCTGGTAAACCGGACATTGCTTCCGTGCAAACTCGGAGAGCCCTCTCAATCCACGGCGCCGGAGGCAGCTCCGTCAGCGGGGGCGACAACGACCCGCGCAGTTCCAAGCGGACTTGATCTTCCGCCACCGTAACCGCTGACATGAATCTCCGGAGGCGGAGAAGTGCGCTCGAAATCTTGTTCTCTTCACTATTTTCGCCGGTCGACGAGGTCTGCAACTCGGGCACCGCCTGCACCTGTGCAGTCAGCACCTCACTGTGCCGCCTTGGGTACACTTCCGCGAACTCATTTATTTGCGGATGATGCAACCCCGCGACGATCTCGGTGGGGACTCGATACCCCTTGTACCCATTCAAGGGCATCCAGAACCCGGCGTCCGCTTGAAACGTGATATCCGCGAGGAGGCGCCACCGCACGTAGAATTTCGCCACCCGGGCCTCGATGTCTGTCTGACCGACAGCCCCCGTGTCGAATAAGTCCTCATCCAGCATCCGCTGCTTCAACCTCGTCAGGTGGGCCAGCACCCATGCGTGCGCGGTGCGGGTCATAACCTCATACACGGCAGGCACGTATTCCGCCCACAGAGCGCGGAGATCGAGGATGGCCGGGAACTCAGCCAACCCGTCCGCCCTCGCCCAACTCGTCGGAGATCAGGTTGAACTGGTCCCGGAGATTCAGTTTCACCTGCTCGATGCTCAGGTACTCGAAAACGGCCGCAACGGCGCTGAGATGCTCGCAGGCGCGCTCCAGGTGGGCGGGGTTGTCGAGTCTTGCTCCTGCCACTGGGCCTCGGAGAGCGGGACCAGGCCGTCCAGGAGGCGGGCCTTCATGAAATGGATGTTTTTGCCGACGAGGCAGAGGCGGGAAGAATCTTGGCCGCCGCAGTGCATGATGATTTTGTAGATGGCGCTGGTCGCGCTTGGGGGCGGTCCGGGCGTGTCGACGGGGGCCCATGCCGCGGTTGGCTCGTCCAGGAGCGGGACCTCCATGGGGTGCAGGCGTGGGAGGGTGGTGGTCGTGCCGTTGGGGAGGTGGCCATGCACGGCGAACTTGTGACGAAGTTGGCGATGAACTCGGGCTCGAAATACCGGTCAACTGATGATTCATCTGTTACTTGGATGTTCCCATACAAGATGCAGAAGGAGTGAAGATAAGACCGCAGCGCAGTACTGTACTGTATATACCAGTGGGTAAGTCCTGGCTTGCCCAGTGCGGCTGTGTGGGACTGGATGAACGGTGTCTGGTGACGTCCACATTGGAAGAGTCTATCCTCTGGTTGCTCTGGTGGCTCTGAACTGGTGGCTCAGAAGTGGTGTGTGTGGCATATCGTCGGGTCGCCAAACGTGGCCCGACGGTTGCTGGTCTGAGGTTTGAGGGCGTGAGAAGGAGAAACCCGGGTCGTCGTGTCGGCAAAGGAAGTCTGCCATTCTGTCGACAACTCAGCTGCGATAAAGTTCGCGATACTCGTGCTGAGGGTCTGAGGGTCTGAGGGTCCGAGGGTCTGAGGGTCTGTAGAGGGGAGAAGGAGGAGCGGGTGCAGATCTTACCTCAGGGTCTCAGGGCTAAAGACAATGCACTGTCACTTACCCCTGACCTAAGCCTGGAGTAGACTAGGAGGGCGCGGCCCGTACGGAAGACCCAAAGTCCCTCCTTTGAGTCCCTGAGCCGTGCATGGAGCCATGGTCATAACAGCATGTCAGTCCCGGTCCCCGGATGTCCGGTGCGCGCGGGTTCATTATGCTTTGAGATACACCTTATACTTTCCAGTCTCATTGTGAAAACGTGGCAAGGAAAAGGGGCACTATACTCCCGGAACAAGAAAGTCAGCGTGACTTTATAAATGATTCATAGTACGACTTACGCCCGGCTTCCATCGCGATTAGGTAGAGGTCATTTCAGCAAGGGCATAGTCGCACCTTGGCTGCTTATTGTTCGAACTGATGGATGAAGAAATTGATGTTCGGCTCCTGTCCGGACACTCAGACTGGCAAAGTCTGTAAAAAAAAAAAAAAAGGCGCAAAAACATACAACAGAAGGGATTCGCTGGTGGTCACCCACCCAACTACTAACCTCCCGGCGTGTGGCTTAAGTACGGCTGAGCGGACGGGAAGCCCTGTTTTCCACACCCTGTGGTCGTATGTGCTTGGTAAGGCCAAATAGATGTCTATGTCTTGTCTGATCACTATTTAGCAGACTTGAAGCGCAATATCACCAAGCATCCTCTGTACAGGGTCGATAGCTGTTTATCCCTCATACTTTTCTCTTCCCGACGAACCCATCGCGATGAACTCATGAAGAATAAGCTTTCTCCAGGAACACATATCGTATATTATATTATGCTTTTTTGCCAGCACTGTGAGAGATGTACATTGGATGTGGATGCCAGTTTCTATATATATCATGACACGGGTCAGGACTTAGCTCTCCGATGAAGGAACAGAATCCTTATCCAGGCAAGGACGGGCACAGGAAGTTCCTCCTATTATCCTATGCTGAGATCTGGTATGACTGTGCGAAAAATAATGCGGGCGCATCATGCGGCTAGAAATGTATAATGCAGTATAACACGGTGGTTCTGTTGAAGGTCACTGTAACGGCACGAGGTGAGATACACTAAGCTGCTATGTCAAATGTACGCAGCCGCGCGGCATGCAATGTTGATTCCACCGTTTGCTCATAGGCAAACAGCGGGACAACGGTGCCTACGGTAGATGAGTAGCTGAGCGGGAGGGATGAATCACACTTTGCTTCAATCCAGGAGGTTTAAAAAAGCTCTTTCACGACGGATGGACATCAGCATCGTCATCTTCCTCACTTCCCTCTGGCTATAAATGCCACCATTCCAGCTAACATCTAGTTAGTTCTCCATTCCAGCCACGTTCCGAATCCCAGCAAGACTTGCCCAGCTACGATGCAGTCCACCATTATTTCCACCTTGCCCTTAAGTGACCTGAAGCCCACTAACCCAGCTGCAGCGACCATCAACAAGGTCAAGCACCTGGCATCCTACAACTGGATTGAAGCACCCGAGCCTACCATCGCCGTTCCCGGGTGTCCCAATCGCTGGACTCCCCCCTGGCGACCCGGCCAATATACAATCAAGGTCCCCAGAGACTCCGCGGCAGACGGTCCTTCAGAGAACGCGGCGCGCCATCCCGCCAGCCCCATGGAGCCCCTTTTCCGCGCGCTGTACCTCCAGCGGCCGGATTTCGACATTCGATGCGTTGACCTCGTGACCGACCGCAGCAATATTCGCAAGCTGTTGTCGGTCATCAACCCGAATCTTGACAAGAGGGTGCTCGCTACCGTCACGATCCACGTCGAGCGACAGGGCAGGACCGTCCTTCTCTGCTGCGAGGAGTCGTCGACCAGGGAGCTTATACCTCGCACGCCGTTCCGTGGATACGGTCAGGAGTTTGAGAATGCGACCACCACCAGCTGTGTTCCAGGCAGCACCAGTCACTACCGGATCACGTCTTACGACTTGGGAGGATTGTCCTGTGTGGTCCGCTACGAGGCTGATAGCTACGTGGAGCAGAGAGGAGGCCACAATCTGCACGCGACGCTGGACACGATGCTGGTCTCGTTGGAAATCTCCGACTCTCCAACCCTTATCTCCAGGCACTCACCATTGAGGGTTTGCGCAAGAGGCCTAGTAGTTCCGCCGGATTCCATTCTCGAGATCAAGACCTCGGCCCCTGGAAGGAGACTGGAGATGGACAAGGTTCTGCCCCAGATGTGGGTGTCCCAGACCTCGCTGTTGGTTTGCGGCTACTACGACAAGAAAGGCTTGTTCACGGAGTGCCGGCCGACAAACATTGGACCGGAGCTCACTGAATGGGAGATGAACCATCAGGCCGACCTGAAGCGGCTGGTAGCTCTACTGAAGTGGATTATTGCTTCGGTGCCCACAAGTGGCCAGAAGGCGACGCTGGCTTATGACTCGTGTCGCAACGAGTTGGTGATCTATCAGGCGAAGCGTCCAAATTTGCTTCCTATTGACCCTTACGAGAAATGGAGAGGTCGGAATTAGGTACCACCATGCGATTATCGTAGAGCAGTGGAGGTTTGCTGAATGATTCGGTAGCTGCATGGTCAGGGGAATGGGATCGTAAGGATCGGATGGATGAAGGCGGCGCTTCTTACAGCCTTGAAGTAGTCACTAACGATGATCGTTCTTTATCAATTGGCCGGATGGTGTAGTTGGTTATCACGTATCGTTAACACCGATAAGGTCCTGGGATCGAGCCCCAGTCTGGTCATTTCCTTTTGCTCTTTCTTTTTTGCTCATCGTTAGATCAGGGCGCAACACCATGTCAGCAGGGCGAAATAGTCAATTCTAGGTCATCGAGCCGTCATCCAACGTCATACGCAGAGAACGCTGGGACTGTATTTGTTGTCAAGGATCAAGTCAATCAAACTATCCACCTCCCAACGGAAAGACAGAGAGGACCCCCAAAGACGGCCTTCCTAACTACAGGAATCCTTCTTATAAAATGCCTCTGAAGCAAAGTAAGCAGAAGCGACCGTAGCCTAGCTATGCGAGCGGTTGTGAGTGTATCCGACTGCGTATGTCAACAAATCCACCAAAACTACTCCGTACTGCCAATCATAATTCCCACTCTACTGCATGAATACAGCGCAAGACAGCAGTAAACGAAACAAGCAGTTCGTTAAATCCAGCCCGCCACGGCGGTACAGGCCAGAAGTAATGCCTTGGTAGTGTCTGTGCAATTTTCTTCTGGAGTCAGAGGCAGACAGACTTCCTTCCCTCGCGAAGCAGCTATGCGCAGAGAATAACGATATCCTGAACACTTTTTGCAGGAATCTCCTCTAGTGATCCCGAAATTGTAGCGCTCGGCCAGGAGCTCCGCCACTTTTTGACGACAGTGGAAAATTCAGAAGCAGACAAAGTGTCCGCACAGGCACAGCTCCAATAAACGCTACAGACCTACAGGGATAGTGCCTGCACGTCCGATCGAAATCTACGTCTTTTCGACTTGTAAGCGACTAGGCAGAATGTCAACCATCCTCTTCATATCCGCAGAACGCTTGACCAATCGTTCTACTATCCGTTAGACAACACATCTACGCGCAACAGAGATCAAGCGGTAGCACGTTATGGTCGAAAGGAAGGAAGAAAGGAACCTGTCGTCATGATGGTAGACCAGTTGTGGCTCTGGTGCTCAGGGCGTAAGTGGACGGACAGTACCGTTTTGACTGTGCTAATGCACTCTCCAGCGATTTTGATTACTTGCTTTACACAAAGACGCGAATGCAGCTTCGATGATCCAGACAGGTACGACATGACTGATCTTTTGGAAAATATTCTGCACTCCATCCCCTAAGGCGCCGCGAACCTAGCAGGTGAAGAGGGGCCACAGCATCTGGTCCCGGGCATTATCAACGAGTGCGCTGGGGCATTTTTCGACCCCATGAAAAGTCTGGAAGACGACTTCAGGTTTCTGGATATGTTTAGTAATTCTATCAGTAGGATAGTAAGTTCTTTACCTCTTCCAATATGACCCGGGCAGTTAATCGTGTTTCACCATCTAGGCCGACGGAAAGGTTGCCTGTTACGAGCGCTTCGTGAAAATGTTGAGGATATCCAACCAGCAGGATCTCATGGAAATAGACACCGAGTCCGGCCTCCTACGAGAGATCAAAGACATTCTTGACGAACTCCGGATGATAAGGGTAGTTTGGGAAGATCAGCTAAAGGTCATCGAGGCCCTCATGGTCCGCTTTTCAAACGTTCCCCGTCCTCCAGCCTGGAACGTCATGCGCGAACCTGTCAAGCGCTATGTGGAAAAAGTCCAGTCCATGCAGAGAGAAGGAGAAGCGACCGTAAATTCGGTATTTGGAGAGCCCTGCCTTCGCAACAATGTAACCGCCGTCTAACAACATCACCTTTAGCCAAATGCCCTGATGGACCTTCGGCAGCGGCACGCGACACTCTGGGAAGCCAAGTCTACCGGAATGCAAGGGAACACCATTACGGTCTTTACCGTGGTCACCATTCTCTTTGTGGGTTTAAGATCCTCTTTCCGTGCAAGGACCGCATCTGACCGGATACAGCTCCCCGCCTCATTCATGGCCTCTTTCTTTGCGTTGCCCATCGTGCAATTTTCCAAAGCTAAGAGCTCGGACAGCCTTGACCTCTCGTATGTTGTGAAATAGCTTTGTACGTCTGTAATTTCCCTTCAAAAGCTATCCCTTCGTTTCGAGACAAAGACCTCAAAGGCTAATGCGAGCTGCAACTCAGTGGCTTTTACCGTGCCCGTCGCCCTCGTCTTCATTTCGATTGCCTTTTATATCAATGACATTCTGAACTATGTGTCCCGGATGACTAGGCATAAAAGACGAGTCGCCAGATTGTCCGCCGAGACTTGGAAACAACAAATGGGGCACGGTATCATTGCCCCTGGGACAGATGATTGGCATGTTCGTGACGGTTCCGCGACTGGATACCAGGGTAACGAAGATGCGACCTCACAGCACAGTCAGAAGGATGAACAGGCGGCTCGGCGCAGAAAGCTGTTTCGGTTCCGGAAGAGGGATACGGATAGTCAAGGCTGAGATAGGCATGGGAGATCAGCCAGATACTGATCGTGAGAAAGTCTTCTTCTAGTAGGAAACGGTATCATTGTCGACAGCGGGAGTAGGGTTCTGACCAAGACTCCTCCTCTCGCCTACTGTGTTCACCAAGTATACATCTCTCTCTCTCTCTCTCTCTTATTGTTGGTGGTCTGCCAAATCTTCCCCAGACATTATATAAATATTGTTGCGGCAAGGTGTATGACAGTAAAAGAGCCTTATCTGCTACTTTACCTACCATTCACCTCCAGGAACATTCAGTCTTGTGCTAGAAGACCAGTCTGTACAGTGACCAGCAGTGACTTGTCTTAGGTCGTGATGGTTGCGTTGGAAGGCAGAGATGCGAAGAGTAGTACGGTACATTACAATACAGGGGCCCAATATTGCCTGGTGTTTTCAAGGCAGGCAGTAATTCAAAGTGTATGATGGTATCACGTGGTCTGATGTATGTAACAGCCACGGTCGGCCTACATTCCGACATGGCCCGCTGTTTATCAGTCACTCAGTGACTGAGTGAGTGCTGCAAAGAGAGAAGGTTTTTCCAGAGCCCTGCAGAAAAAAGTAGACGAGAGTCCGACCGTGGACGAGAGGCCGAATTACAAAATCGGTCGGTTTGCAGCCCGGCCAAGGAGCTACTAGGTAGCTCTTCGGGGCCAAAGACCCAACAGCACAGCCCTCTTGCCTCTGGCCATGCTTACTTGTCTAAAAAGGTGGTTGTCGCTCATAGGTAGGTGGCGAGTCTTTTGTATATAGATAAAGGGGGCCTCCTAAGCAGAAAACCAGGTGAAGACCCCCCTTCAAGCGACAATCTTGCCTTTCTTTTCCCGGCCCAGTGGCTCGACGACTTGATCTCGTGATTAGGGCTCGTCGTTCATGCTTACTTGCGCTCATCGCCCACAGTGTAGTCTCTGTGGGTTAATCAGCCATGGGCGGACTCCTGACGTAAAATAAGTGCATAACTGCACATTATGCTTCCAGTCCAGTTACAGACGAGACGCATACTGATGTTAGGTACGATGGTGGTTGAAATCCACCCGACCAAGCATTTACATAGTAGAAGTACGAGGGCGGGGCTTCGATCAGGGGGGCATCAGTACAGCCCCGTTACGGTTTCAGCACGGCTATTCTGCCGCAGCTCTTGCCCCCAAACCCGCATCCTCCCTGCATCAAAAGGAGGGGGCCAAAGCAGTGGCTTGATCTAAATAGGAGTCTGTGTCCTGTCAGATCGCCCCTCTTTTTCTCGTCCCTGATGATCATGTTTCCGCCTATAAGACCCGGTGTCGCACTGACCGACTGTGTCTCAAGCAAACCCACCACTTAGCCAGATCCCTGGACACCTGCCGCAGTGCAATGTTCCCGTTATCGCATTTCCGCCAATACCGGCGACGAGGCGCAATTGTGTCTCGAGCCCTAATCCTCGTCGTGCTGATTGTCTATTGCGGCAAGACTACTCTTCGGACACGACAATTCCACCCCGTGCAGCAGGATGCCCAATCCATACAGAAGAGACTGGAACCTAGCCTTGCCATCCCTGAGACCGCTCCATTACAACAGCCGGTCGCCCTGCCCGACCCTCTACAAGCCGGACCCCCCATACCCCCCGTGCCCCCCGTACAACCCCAAACACCCCAAACAGCTCCAGACAACCACAACCTCACCCACCACCTCGCGAACCTCTTCGCCGCCCTCCCCGACGAATCTCACGCCCACACCCTCACCAGCCCGCTGACAGCGACCGGGGAAGAGAGACTCCGCGACCTGGGGTTCCGGACACGCGCCTTCGACGCCCTCTTCCGCGCCTGGGAAGCCATCCACCTAGTCCCCACCGAGACAGACCAGATGCTGATCCGCGACGACATCGTGCGGACCCTACGCGACCACCCAGAAATCACAGCCGACCTCGACCTCACCCCAGCCAGCGCGATCCACACTTACGAAAACACGCGCAGCTTCCTGACCCAACTCGCGCAACGCCTCTTCCCATGGACCACCCCCTACTCGGCCGACCACATGACCCTCCACGCGCAGTTCCACGAGGGAGGGCGTGGCATCGTCTTCACAGCCGGCAACGACCAAGCGCCATACCTGGCGACCTCGATCCGCGCCCTCCGCGCCCACGGCTGCACCCTCCCCATCGAGATCCTCTACCTCGGCGACGAGGACCTCGACGAAGAGATCCGCGACGAGCTAGAGGCCCTGCCCGGCTCGGTGGTCACCCGCGACCTAAGCATAATGGTCGACGATGCCGGCTGGACACTCCGCGGCTGGGCGGCAAAGCCCTTCGCAATCCTGCTGTCCAGCTTCCGGGAGGCGATCTTCATCGACGCGGACGCGCTCTTCCTGGCGGACCCGGCGGCGCTCTTCGATGACCCACACTACAAATCCACAGGGGCGTTGTTCTTCAAGGACCGGCTGTTCATGCCCGGCACCGAGAAGCGGGCGTGGCTGCGGCGCGTCCTCCCCGCCCCGGTCTCCCCGCGGGTCCGCCAGAGTCGCATGTGGACGGGCCAGAGCATCCACATGCAGGAGTCCGGAGTGGTGGTCGTCGACAAGTGGCGCCATTTTGTGGCGTTGTTGATGGTCACCCGCATGAATGGGCCGGATCGCGATGGCGATGAGAGGAGGGGGTTGGTGGGGGTGTATGATATGGTTTATGGTGAGTGCGTGTGCTTGTGTTGTTGTATGGTTGTGTGGGTTGTGTTGGCTGATCAGAGAGGCTTTGTGTTGTCTAGGGGATAAGGAGACCTTCTGGCTGGGGTGGGAGCTGGTTGGGGATACCGAGTACGCCTTCCATGAGGGCGCGGCCGCGGTGATGGGCAAGCCTCAGGCGAACCGCGACAACACCACCACCACGGCAGAGGGTCAGGAGCACGACTTGAAGTATACCGTGTGCGCCCCGCAGCTGCTGCATTTGGGGACTGATGGACGACCCCTGTGGTTCAATGGGTGGCTGCTGCCGGATAAGTTCTCGGGCGAGCAGCGCCGCCCAACGGAGTTCGAGGCCTTCATCCCCGAGCCCCCCAGTGCGGAGGACAGCGGCTCATGGCAGTTGCACGACAGCAACGTCTGCTGTCTGTCGGCCGACCAGGTGGTGTACTTCGATGCAGCGGAGAAGGAGGCCTTGGATGGGTTGATCGAGATCGCACGGGATGTTGGGGCGATTGGTGGGGCGCATTAAGAGGGCATCGTTCAAGCAGCAGAAGGGCATGCGAGGACTTGGCCGTCTGGAAGCAGGACTTTCTCTGCGTGCAACCCGGTCAATGCATGAGAACTCACCACAACCGCAGTCGTAGCCCGAGGTACAGGGGACCAGCATCCTAATTTTGCGTTAGCTGCGGCTCCGGAAACCGTCGAACCTGGGTTTCCAGAAGAAAATATGTCCACAGCCATTACAGGGCTCTGTGGGATTTGCTAGCAAAAGTCCCTACGCATTGAACAGACTGCGTGATCGGCAAAACAATCGGATCTTGGAGATCGACTGAAACCGCCTCTCACCCCGCAGACCCCCCGTGAATCGTGCTTCGGGCAGCAGAGGGATGGTGGGCATCGAGTATATTTATATCCATCGTGGTACCGATGCTGGACTGTCCTCGGACCTACTGGATATATGTATCCCTGCTCATGGAAGCTCGTCCCATTGTCATGAAAAGAGCTGGGGAATTCGGGATTATCGAACCACCCAGGAGTTTGAGCTGTATACCCATAGCTACTTGGCTATATCGTCGAATTTGATATTGGATAGAGAATTGATGAATACAATGAACATCGCCTCTAATCATTCCTATACCAAGCTTTACGGTAAGTATGGTGATTGTGAACCGTATGTCACCTGGGCAGGGGAGGGTCCCACAGTGTGGAATGTACTGTACCTTGCGATTCTCCTCATCCCCAGTCTCGGCACGTCTATCCATTGGAGACAGATACTCCCTCGTGTCTTTTTCATTGCCCCTGATACTAGAATAAATGGAAGTGATCAAGCTATCATAATCTGCCCAGCATTCAGATACCGAATTTGGGGTTCGCTGATGTCACTGTGGGTGACTTGGTCACTGCAATTCACTCTCCCGCCTCCCCCGCAGCGCAAACGACAACCTCATGGATCCATTCCGAATGAAGAGCCTCGTATGCTGTGATCCGGCGGTCAGGCTTGGGATCAAGCATAGCATAGATCACATTGCAGCAGCGTTCCTGGCATTCTTTAGCAAAGTAACCTTCCCTTTCTGAGGTCCGATTCGAAAACTTACACTGCCAAACTCCTCAATCGTAGTGAACCCTTCCACATCCTCCCGTGTCCGCACATACCACTGATAATTCCGATCCTCCTCGCTAGCAGCCTTCCACAGAAGCATGCCCAACCGCATAAACGCATAGATCAACCCCACAGCCCAAACATCGGTGGCCCGGGGGTCGTGCTCGCGGCCACGCAGCACCTCCGGCGCGGTGTAGGGGATCTGCTCCAGCGGGGGTTGCGCTTTTTGCAACGGTCGCGAGTCCTTGGGCAACCACTCGGCACTGTCAAAATGTGCCACCTTCACTGCCCCATTGACAGTGAGCAGTACATTCTCCGCCCGCAACCGTCGGTGCACGATGCCTTCGTCATGAAGAAAGAAAACTGCGCGCAGGAGCTGCTTGAAGAAGCAATCCGCTTCCACAGCAGAAAGCTTTCCCGCTCGTAGAAGGAGGGTCTGCAGACTGCCGCCGCCGCAGTACTCCATGACGGAGTGCAGATCCCCCTTGTCATTCTGGCAATGTTCGAGGGTGCGCACAATGTTTGGATGCACGACGGACGAGGAGATCCCCATCGCTGCGCGACGGTACTCGTCCAGGAGTCTTCCAGGGGAGCGATGACGGACTTTGACAGCGTACAGTTGCTCTTTCCCCGAGTGCTTCGATGCTTTCTTGGCGTAGAGGCCTACGAACGTTGACGACCCGTAGTGCAGGATCTTGATGCATTTCCCGTATCGGTGGGAGAATGGTTCCGGGTTGTCATTCCCTTCAGAGGTTTCGGAACGTTGGATCACGGGATCGCTTGGAGTTTGTCGAGGGGTGTGATGCGTGAATGTGTTGCACAGCTTCTCGAAGAGACCCGCGGGCTTCTCAGGTTCGATGAGGTGGCGATGGTTGCCATCTTCCAAGATCTCGATATGGTGCGGTTTTCTCTCCTTGGTGGACATGGTGAAGCCCGACCGGTCCTGCGGGGACGTTTCTCTGTGTAGATAGGCTGGTTTAATTTGGTCTCATCCAAGCCTCTTGATCGCGAGTTAGCATGCTGTATGTCAAAATGTTTGGTTGAAGTAACACAAAATGACGAAGCCATCTGAACGCGACAAGTAGAGGAGGGTGTCATACAATGATGTCGGCTGGAACGTGACCAGACAGATCACATGACCATACCGAATAATCTGACCCGCTGACCCGAACGGGCATAAAAGACCCCTAATTGACCGGAAAGGGTCCCATGTTGCATTCAAACAGTGCAAACCCCGAGTATTCCCGGTCGAATTTCACTGGAACCTTTTCCCACCCATATTTCTAGCAGTTCTCGCAGGAGTGCGTCATGTGGAAGGTATCCGCGTGGTTATGGATAGCCAGTGCTGGGTATTAAGGTCTCTGATCGACTGAGGATGGGAAACAAAGGAATCCTATTAAATCAAGACACTACCCGAGGGATATTGACAAGGAACACTCATGGCTTCGAAAGCCGTAGAGAATCATCATTCGTCAAGAAACAAAAAGTAATCTTGACATAGGGGCTCCTCCCTGTCACGGACGAGGTCTGTGATGTAGTCCAGCTCACTAGAAACTAACTAACTATCCCAAATTCTTCACCTTCCCCGCCAACCCCCAGTAGTCGTTAGAGCGACGGACCTGCCGCCAGAACCACGCCACATACGCCTCCTGTTCGCGGACCTTGTCCGGAGAGCGAGACGCCGTGATGGCCGCCAGTTCCTCCCGCAGCTGCTCTTCCAGCCGGGCTTCCTCGTCTTGCTTATCGTCGCCACCATCGGGGCTGAGCAAACCACCTCCCTGCTCGGAGATCCGTCTCTCCAGGGTGCTGCGTCGCAGGGAGGCCCTCAGCTCCCGACCCATCCGGTCCTCCAGCAAGGCCGCCACCGCGACCGAATGAAACGGCCCCTCCTGATGCGGCCAGTCGCGCAGCGCCTGCAGCGCCTCCCACCGCAGTCGAAAGTCTTGGCAGCCATCGCCCACCACGAAGAGCAGCGGGATCACCCCCAGGTCGACCGTCACCGTGGGTCGTAGGGGAAAGTCGGCGATGAATCGCTGGATCCGGCGTAGTAGCGTGCAGTACTGCGGGGTAAAGCGCTGCAATTGTTCCGGGTCGTGGTGGAGGGGGCCGGTGTGGACGACAAGCGAGGCGGTGGTGACCAAAAGCTCGAGAAGTTCGATCCCGTGTCGGGACTTAGGGCTGAGATCGGTGCGGCGGCGGAGGGTCTGGAGCAGCTGCATCGCGGGCCGTAGCTGCGCGGCAATGGCGAGTTGCTCCGCCGCCAGTGCCGTGTGGTCGGCCTGGAGCTCGGTCGGGGACATGCGCCAGCACCATCGTATGAATTTGAAGAGGCGGTTGTGGAGGGGTTCTAGGGCTTGGCGGGCGCCGTAGAGAGGGTCGTCGTTGAGTTCAAGCGCTTGGTCGCCCTGCTGCTGCTGCTGCTGCTGCTGTTGTGATTGCTGCCACCATGGATCAGGGGCCGGGTGAATCTCCCCTACCTCATCTTCCTCCTCCCAGTACCACAGACCCGGCCCATCCATCCCGATCTGGGTGTCCAGGTGTCGAAACACAGTCACCCAACGCCTGGACGTGGGACTCTGCGACGAGGGCTCGCTCTCGCGCAGGATCCGCAGGCCCGCCCGCAGATGCTGCAGCGCCGAGCTGTATTCCTGCCAGATGGTGGCCACCACGGCGAACAGCAGACAGCAGAGCAGGGTCACGTCGCGGACCTGCGGATCGCGCGGGTTACGACTCCGCAGACAGGCGAAGGCCCGGGCCGACTGTGCGACGGCCATCCAGTACCAGAACTGCGGAGCCCGACCGATCACACCCCCGGCCTCGACCTGCTGGTGCACGGCCCCCAAGGCAATCACGGCGTGCCACACAGCAGGCTCCCGAGGCACCATCTGCAGCAGGAACTGCTGCCAGACCGCCGAGTCGAAGAAGCTGAGCGCGTCCGGGAGGGTCCGGGCTTGGACAAAGGCGAAGCAGCGGCGCTCGTCCGAGGTGCTGGCCCACGGCACCGCAACCGCGATCGGGCCGGCCACAGCCGACGGTGACTCCTGGCGGCAAGTGGGCTTTGCTCGGTTGGTCGTGAGCGATAGCTCGCGGTAGGAATCGTACCCATCACACTGACGGCCAGTAGAGGTGCAGTTGCGGCAGCTGCCTGGGGTTTCGTCGCACTTGATGCGTCGTGTTCTGCCGTGGATGATGTCCTTTCTAGTCGCCTTCTCCTACATTGAAGGTGTGGTGTAGAGATCGGGTCTACATACCGGCAAGTGCGACAGCCCGTTCTCGATCTTTTGAACCCAGCCCGGCGGGCCTTGGCAGAAGGTGGTCTCATGGTGTGGTCACAGATCACTGCAGGTGTCGAAGAGTCCGGCGGATGAGAAGCTGAGGTGAAGACCTTGTGAAGTTGTGCGGGGAGAGACTAGAGTAACTAGCGCCCTACTAGACTGGGATTCTCAGTCAAGCTACACCATTTTCGTCTTAGGTGGTGGCATTGAAGGAATGCAGACTGTGATCATTTTTGAGATCGGACAAGCAGCAAGAGCTTCCAGTTTATCCCGCATCCCTAAGGTAGTTACCACGATTCCTAATTCACCGCTAGGACAGACGCTGCTGCCCGCACTCCACAAAGAGAAGGGAACACGTCGAGGTTTGGCCATGTGTATCTCAGTGATAAACATGTTACTAATTACCTCATACCTACATTTCCTCATGCCATCTTACTAGCAATAACTCTTTCACTTGGTTTAGGTATGCATCACCCTTCCGACTAATCTGTTCTGTGTCGCCTCTACTGCTGTAAGGTAGGGTTGGTGGGCGGGCGAGCCGAGGGTCAGCCGGAGATGATTAGTGAACATGCGTGCGCGAAATACTGTACCAGGCGGCAAGGTAGTAGTGTATCATCGGTTTATATGCAACTTGGGATGGACCAAGACTTTCTTTAATTGGAGACTAAGCTTTAACTCGCCGTTGAAGGCACAGCATGTCGCATGTCGCATGCCTTTCTGTTCTGTCAATCCTGTTAACATTCATTCCACTAATTGTTCCTGACATACGATAGCCCGAAGGAGTCCTATACCGTACCCTGAATACTAGCTATACACACCTGTACAGTACAGTAACCCAACACACGCATTAAATTGTGCTGATAAATATCGACCATTCCCAAGTAAACTGCCGAGGTTGAAGTCCTTGCACTCGTGCTTACCAGATGACGTGACTGGCAGGTAGTGCTGATCTAGAGGTTTACATTGCCTCTCTCTGTGGTGCCAGAACTGCTGCATATTTCTTGTACTCTGCCTTATACTGCAATTCGGACTCAGTTATTCGTGGTCGAGGACAATGGCAGAGCCCGCGCACTCCCCACTGTTCGAGAAAGCAATCACCGTGACCCCGATCGGTCCGAATACCTACTCCGCATGTCTTGACCCGGCATGGTGTATTGGGAAAGGTAAGAAGACATAGATCCTCCCCCTCACCTGCGATACCCATCATCTGCAGAGGCTCACCAGGATTGTTGGGAGTTTCGGTAGTACCGCACGGAGGCTACACGATGAGTATTTTCCATCGAACCGCGGCTGTTCACTTCGCTCGCCAAACAAGCAAGGCCGAACCGATCGGTCTGCAACTGTCGTTCCTGCGACGGACACTCGCCGGCCCCGCCATCTTGACCGTCCAGGAAGTCAAAATCGGGACGAGGATCAGCACGATCCACGTATCCCTCTCGCAACCCCGCGAGAGCCCTCGTCTTTCGGCAGCAACCCCACATGCGCCGCAGGACAGGAAGGACAAAGAGCAGGCGCTCGAGGTGAAGGTGGTCGGATACATCACCGTGAGTCCGCCAGAGTACGAAGCGGGTCCAGCTGTGACCGGCCACTGCGCGGCTGCGCTCTCTCCGCCCGTGGTTGACTTCCGCGCCTTAGGGGAGAACGGAGGGGTCGGTGCATGGGTGCGCAACCAGTCCCCTCCACCGGGTCTGTTTGCAGCCGGACATGCGGAGCTCTTCTTCCCGGTATCCACCCTCACGGCAGCCAAGACACTCGAGGATCAGGTGAAGGGGGTGGTGGAGCAATGGGCGCGCTTCACCCCGGGAGGACAACCCGCTCGCTGGTCGAATGAAGCGGTATTGTACTTGGCGGACATGTTCCCTCCTGCATTGAACCGGATGGGTGCGATGGAGGTGCAGAGGCTGAAGCAGATCGGTGCGCTTTCCGCACCGGCTGAGGCTGGACCCTTCTGGTATCCCTCGGCCACTTTGAATGTGGATTTGAAGACCCGGCTTCCGGAAGAGGGGGTCGAGTGGCTGCAGTCGCATGTGGTGACGCGGATGCTCCGGGGTAGCCGGGCGGACTTGGAGGTGGTCATCCTCAATGAACAAGGGGAGCTGGTGGCGACGAGTACGCAGGTGGCCTTGGTGGTCGATGCAGCGAGAAATCTGAAGGGCAGGGAAGCATCGGAAAAGTTATAGTCATCATAGTAGTACTTACCTGCAATAGAAGATTATCTAGAAAGAATCCATGTGCTGAGTAGCTAAGCCGAAGGATCAATAGAGTGTAGGGAGAGGAAGGGAGTAAGCAGGTGACAATACGTTCTATGCACCATGTCGACGCTACCCAATGCTGTGCCTACCTACGATAATATTACTCTCTATAGCGCCCAATCCCTCGGCACTTGATCTAATCAGTAATCACACCGAGGTACGCAGAACAAAAGGAAGAAAAGCGGGGGATGTGTCGAGCAAGAAGACCCAGCGCCAATCAAGACACGATGCGCGCAAGGATGAGATCCAACATTTAGTCTCTAAATCACCTCTGCAGCGAAGCACTCGATCTATTCACAGAGCTTTCCATTCAATCCTAAATCACACAACAATTTAGCAGAAGAATGGCCCCAAGCACCACGTACCAGCTCATCATAACCACCGAGGCAGACCTCCCCACCGCCCGCAAACGCCGCGCCATCTATCTGCGCTCCTTCCTCCTCTTCTATCTCACCTCCCTCATCGCCGAGACCATCTTCCTGGCGGTCGGGGTGTTCATCATGACCGGAACCCGCGACCTCTACTACAAGGTCCTGTGGACACTCGTCTTCTGCCCGCTGGGCATGGGCGGCGCCATGGGCGGGTTGATCAACTTGTTTGTTGTCGACCACCACTACGGGAAAAAGGCGGCACATTTCACAGGTATCCTTTCGCTACTGGTGCTTAGCAGCTGCAACTACCTGTGCTACAACCTCGACCGGCATTTCGGGTGGTTCGGGGCCACCGAGCACCCGATGTGGTTCCATTGGCGGTATCCGATGATCGGGGGGGTGGGGTATGCGAATGGGTTGCTGTTGTTCACGGATGAAGGGCTGGAACGGTTGGCGCGGTGGGGGCTGTAGACTTTTTCTTGATGGGCACGGTCTTGGGCAGAGGGTTGTCGTTTGGCAAGATGGGCTTGAGCTTTGGGTCTCGAGAGGTTGGAGTATTGGGATTGGGTTTCTGTTTAGGATGGTGTTTGGAATTCCACTGCCACAAAGTCAATTGCTACGAATGAGCTATGATGCGTATCGCGGTTGTAGAGCATCGCGTGATCTAACGGAGGTCACTGGCCTGGAGAGAGTCTCTAAGGGAGGTAGGAAGCTAACTTGGGTTTGAAAACATGCTAAAATCTCTGGGTAGTGGCTCACAGAGAGCATCTCTGGTATACCCTGTACAATGCAATGTGGACAGAAGAACAAACTCGATATTGAAATAAAGGAAACCACAGGCTAATAAACCTTTCCTGGTTGTTCCTGGTTGTATCCCCTTGGACTTGAGCTCTGACTACCAATGATGGTTGAGTGCGAGGACTATATCTGAAATATACTTGTAGCACCTGTCTGCTTCGACTAGAGAGCTACCTTCTGAGTATAGCCATAGTGGGGAACGGACGAAAGATTGGAATACTACATACAAACAGGATTAAAATCAAGGGGGTGACAGATTGGGCCTGTTGCGGGGCCTTTCATCTTTGATCACCGCGAGAAACGGCTGGGTGCTGCACTGAAGGGCTAGTTAGGTGAGTCAATATGCTAATTGGATCCAAAGCTATACCCTGCATGCGCACAAGCTCGGAGATATCTTCCTGTCTAAGGGCGAGGCTTGGTGTGACGGAAGGGGTGACGAGGCCAGGATCCACACGGAAAAGGTGGAGCACCCCTGGTTTCAATTATATTATCTATATTTGATGTAAGACAAAATAGATGCACGATCGCATCGAAGATCTAAGTAATAGATGGAAAGAAGAGAAAGGGCATCAAGAACGAGGATGCGTGCCAGAAAGAGTGGCCAAGTAACGCTCAACCGTGAACTCGCTGGAGGATCTCCTCATACCCAAGGGGAAGAAGGAGCAGCTAGAAGCAATCCACAAGGGGTGTCTAGTAGACAGGCACCTTGAAGGCAGGGAAAGTGTAGTAGAAGGTATCAGCGCCCTCGTCGTCGCTCTCGCACTTCCACGCACCCTTCTTCCAGACGGGTCGCTTGGGGAACTGGCAGAGCTGCTGCACCTCTCCGTCGTACGCGCCCGCATCAACGGTAGCATTGAGACCGGTGGGCTGGACACCGCTCTCCACCCACTTGATCATGGTGGCCATGTTGTCCTCGGGGAAGGGGCCGTTGGGCTGCAGGCTGTTGCGGGCGCAGTGGGCGGCACCGGGCACCAAGTAGAGCTGGTACCATTCCTTCATCTGCTCGATGGCCTTGGAGGAACCCAGGCTGGGGTACATGATCTTCATCACCGACTGCCAGTAGTGGACGGACGACGCGGTGGGGACACTGGGATCAGACTCGCCGTGGTAGTGGATGAGTTTGCCGCCGGAGGACTGGAAGTTGGTGAGATCGGGCAGGGTGGTCTGCAGAGTATCCATGTAGAGAACCATAGCCTCGTTCATCCACGAAACGAGAGTATCGTAAGTCACGTTGTTCAGGTTGTCGAGGTTGCTGACATCAAGCAGCTCGATGAAGCGACCGACGAACTCGCCACCGGTGGAGGGAATGTCCAGACCCCAGGACTGGGTGGTGTTGTCGTACTCGGTTTCGGCATCGGTGAACTCGGCGCCAATACGGTAGGAGAGATAGGCCCGCTCGCCCTGGGAGTTGAACAGTCCGTCGTAGATGGCCTGTGCGACGGCCACACCCTCAGCAGTCACGTTGCCGCGTTGCGCTGGGGTAGTGGTGGTCTGGGTACCGTCGTTGCGCTTGCCGAAGTTGAAGCCCAAGGAGGTGCTGGTCGTGGCGGCGCAGTAGTAGGACTCGCCGATCACGGAAGTCAGGTTGAACTCCAACTGGCACAGATCGGAACGGGAGATCACACCATCCGTACGTCCGTCAAGAGGGTCGCAGGCGCTGATAGTCGCATTGACGATCTTCTCCAGCTCACAGGGAGGGGGGAAGTAGTCGAGCGTCTGCTCGACAACAGCGGAGAAGAGGTGATTCACCTGCTGTTGGCCGTAGCGGAAGGCCGGGGCGCCGATGACGGCGCCGTCGTAGAGGTCTCCGTAGCGCTGGATCTGGCTCATACCTGGAAGAGGACAGAGAGGTCAGTATCTTACAGAGTTCGTTTGCACAGGCAAGGCTCACCTTCTCTGCCACCATCCGAGCACCCCTCGAAGTAGGTGTACACCTTGGCCTCATCATCGAGGTTGTAGAAGGCCCGAGTCAAGGGCTTTCCGACCGTAGTCATCTCACCCAAGCCCTTGTAGGCGAACATGAAGATGGGGTCCCAGTTGATGGTGCCGTTGCCGAGAAGGTTGACCTCGTCGACGGTGGTGCCCGAGAGGGCGCCGTAGCCGGCATCGGTGGCAGCCCCCACGGCTCCATACTCCAGGCCTCCGGTGATGCTGGTGCTCAGAGTGTAGCCGAAACCACCGGCAACGTAGAAACGGTTGGCGAAGATCTCGGGGCTGGGGAAGCCGTAGTTGAGGACGACCTCGTCGCTGCTGCCGGTGTGAACATAGGAAACGGAGACGTCGCAATACTCGTAGCCAGAGCTGGTGGCAGTCTTGGCTGTGACGGAGGAGGGAATCATGTCGATACCGAGGAGAGTGCCATTGGCAGGCAGTGCCGACTGGACGTGGGCGACGGTACAGAGAGTGGCCAGCGACGACGAATTGGTGGCGCGGGCAGTTGCTGCCAGAGCAACGGCGGCCGCGGCGGCACGCGAATATTGACGCATGATGGGAGGACTAAAAAGTGGGAGAATGAGGGGAAGGGCTGAACAGAGTGAGTAAAGGAATGTGTGGATGATCAAGTCAACTTGAGATGGAGGATGAGGGCGTTTCTATATGGATATGGATGCACCCGGAGATACACGCGTCGCTGGCCTCGGAGATTAGATGATGGTCGATCAGAGAAGTCGGCCACTGCCAAGCTACGAACGCGCGTCTTGCACTGGTTCAGAACTTCAGATAAGGTCAAGACCCACCGTTTGACCCAGCTGGTTAATTAAGCTTCGTCAGTTTGTCGCACGATGGGGGCTAGCCCAGACACTTAAGCTTAAATTCTTTTCCGTGCCGTCGTCCGGTGGCCAGCAGCCGCCAGCCCTAGTTCGATGCTGATAAGTGTAACTATAAGTATTAAGTTCGTACTGAGCGTGCAGGCCAAGCAACCTGGTAAAAAAGGCCCCTCGGGCCGTATTCGTGTTTCAGGCGGCCTGTCATAATGTCAACTGACTCAGTACTTCTCAAGAAGATCAGTTTCAAGGTTCTAGTATTCCTTGTGGAGCAAAATCCTAAGCTCAAGAAAGCGCAAGCCGGTGAGGTGAACCTTCGGGTCCACTCGCCCCCGGTGACCGAGAAAGCCTTTATCCGGATGATGCTTCAGAGTCCATGCTCCAGGCTGCAACCTAATGCCTTCCAGATTGGGTTCAATTGCCGGTCGGAAATAGGCCGGCGTCCCCGTTCCCTTCCACCAGGAGGCTGAGGAGGAGTTAAGCTCGTATCAGGTTTTCAGGGACTTGCCTTCTTCGGGCCGATCGCCGTATCGTCATTGATCATGAAAGGTGCCGAAACGGCTTGCGCTGCATACTACTCCTCCCGCCCCACTCACCTTGCTTCAGCAATTGGGCCATACCACACACTGGGCCGTGGAAGACGGACTGTCAAATATGGCATTTTGCTTGTATATCTCATCGCTGGACGCTCTCACAACTGGTCTCAGAGAGAGTGAGTTCTGACGTATCCGTACATCATGGCGAGTAATTTCCTCATGTGGGAGTTAACCATAAGAAATACAAGTACAGGCGTACTTCAATAGTTGCTAGGAGAGCATTGGGAAAGAACTACAAAGTAATTCTCTTTCCCCGCCCTGTAAGATCCACTGAACACGGGAGTCTAGAATAATAAACATTATGAGGGCGTGTGGCTTGATAGTCACCTTACAAACCCAACTTGTTCTCGCCGAGTGCCTATAATCTTTCGTCGTTCATCAGGATAGGCACCTTTCCAAGCATTTGTTTCAAAGAAACTAGAAGCGAAGTGTTCAATGTCTCTTGAAATGCCCTCGTGAAGGATGTAAGGTAGTAGAATGTCAAGGCAGCCAGCGCGACGGCGTGAATACAATGAATATAATCATCAAAGCCGATCTTTGGGAGTGGAGGGAGCTAATCAAGCTCGAATGGGAGTAAAGTATCATACCGTTTAATTTGCCTGAATGGGCATGCGAAGGCGCGTTGCTGCCTCATTCTGGAAGACACTTGAAGCGATGGACTCAGAGCGAGAAATATTTAAGGAGGATCTTGGAAACGGACTGGAAACGTGAGTAGGAAGGTGCTTGGAAAGGCATTTAGAAATAGTATTTTGACTCATCCTACAGGCAGAATTTGAAGCAGGATGCGAAACATCGATTACCGAGTAGTGATCGGCGGTAACAGTTCTCCGCGTCGGAGATCCGGCACAAAGTCCCGGAACAAGTCAACGCAGCCGACGTGATTAACAAAAGCCCGAACACAAGGCCGAACTTGTGTGCCTCACCACCTGAGAACCACACACAAAGCACCATCAACCATTGCTTACAATGGGAAATCCGGCATCGGGCCTCGATGTTTTGGATAGTCGGTACTCCTTGCAACATCCTCCCACTCATCCACAATACGCGTCAGCGCACCGAGTTTCTCTCGCAGAAAGCCAACGCAGTCACTTCCCCAAGGGCATCCGCAATGGGACATCCTTTCCTTCCGCGACTCCGATCCCCTTAGCAACCTGAATGACCTTGGCGACCAGCTCGACTGCATTCCCCGGCTCGTTACGGTAGCTGCCCGCTCCACGGATGCGACAGGCCTCGTTCAGCGGTCGCCAGAACTCGATGCGGTGGGGAACGTGGTTGATATTGTTCATGACTTTGGTGCTGAAGATTCCTGCTTCGATGATGAGGGGCTTGATTCCGGGGGCGAGCCAGGCAAGTTCCTTGGCGAGACTCTCAACGGCGCCTGCGTAAGGAGGAAAGGAGAGTGGTCAGAATTCTTTTCGGGGTTGATGCTCTGTGTGTATGTGTGTGTGTGTGTGTTGGTGTTGAGGTTAATGGGAAGCAAGAGACGGGCATACCTTCGAGGGCAAACTTGCTCGCGCAATACGCAGCAGCTCCAGGCTATTCGTAGAAGCCCGACTGGGAGCTCATGGAAATTATCAATCCTTTTCCCTTGTCGCCCTTGCTGCGAAAATGTGACAACGCGGCGCGCGTCAGTTGATCGGTCCGTGAAAGTTGGTGTCAAGGGAGTCTTGCATATCCTCCTGTCTGTCAGGAGACAATCAGAAAGAGCCATCTTCCGTTTACTACATCCGAACCTAGGTGAGTTCTTCGATTGCCCCACACTGGATTTATTCCGCATTATTGACCAACACATCCACTCCTCCATATATGTCGATCGCCTGCTGGAACTTAGCGTTGAGATCCGTCTGAGGGGCTGTCACATCGAGGTCGAGTATGGTAGCTCCCGTATCTTCAGGTGAGCGAGCTTGGTGTCAGCATTTCGACCGGTTGCGACAACATTGTCGCCTAGAGCACGGAGCTGCCGCACGAATTGCTCTCCGAAGCCGCTCGAACAGCCCGTGATGAAACAGGCTTGTTTGTGTAGTCCCATTGTTCATAAGATGGAGGCGGGGGCTCATCCAGAGCCCAAGTTAGGGCTTGCTGACGTGGCGCGCACCTACACCAGGAATCGGATCCCCAGACTAGGCGAGCGCTTAGAACTGATCACAAAAACACAAAGAGATGGGATCCCATTGTTTGTCATGCTGATTTCTAACCTGAAGGCGTAGTTCCCCTCACTTTCAAGATAAGAAACATCATATACCCTATTTGCCCATCGATCTGACAGAATCCCTCACTGCTCCCCGCTTCAAATAAGGCCATTCATTTATCAGCAGCATGTCCTGGACCCAACAAACCGGCTATTGGAGCCGTCCTCTTGACTGCCATGACAGGCTCTTCCAATTCATTGGCGATGTAGGAAAGCCGCTGGGCCGTGAGCACTGGCTACTGATAGGGGCAGCCCAGCTCGAGTACCCCTCGGAAATCGATCTGGTCGCCCAGTTGCGGACCGCTTGGAAATCCCTCCGCTTGCGACATTTCTGCAGGGCCAGTCTTCCATCAGTCTGCTCATCGCTCCGGATAAAGTTGGCGCTCTACCGGGCAACACTCGTCGCGCCGAACTTCGCCACTCCGCAGAGCTATCACTCGCTCTCCGTCAGGCCTGTCGTCAACATACTGAGGTACTCACGCGTAGGATGAGGTTGGCTTTCTTGTCGCGTAGCGCAGGCTTGGCGCACCTGGTTCGATGTACTCGCAGGCATACAGTAGAGGCTGTCCTTAGGGCTCATTACACCATCACATAGATGCCTGCACAGGGGGTCAGTCTCGGCAGCCGTAGCTCATCGGGCGTTTCCAGATGTTTGCCTGAGGCCAGCCACTCCTCCTCCACAGGAAGCTTCGCTTCTTCACAGTCAACTCCCCCGGTGCTGGATCTCGAGCCGGGATCTTAAGAGGTCGACTACTTCGCAGACAAGGCGTTTCAGGATTCCACGCAATGCTCGTATTCTAGGTTCATCTGAGGCTGTCTTATCGCAACTGGTTAGCTGGGTGACCTGCAGACCTCGCCAGAAGACATTTCATATATTCAATTTACTTGTCTACTGATTGTTCACGTCAATTCTTTCAGGTCTCCAGTGTTTTTACAAGATATATCCTGGACTCTTAGTAGCTCTGCTTTTTCGATAGCTCCACATTACAATCAATTGCGGGATGCAGATATCTGTATATAAGCTGTGACGGTACGAATGGAATTGATATTCCTAACCACATGCAAAGGCCCTATCACGCACGAGAAAGTGATTGAATACTTGATCAATCGATTGTCTGATACCATTCATCTGACGGACAACAAGAACACAATAAGGAGAAAACTCTAGGCTGTACCTTTCTAACACCGCTCGAGGCAAGAGTATCTGGGGAGCAGCTGGCAGCATGAAAGAAATTGTACCAAGTGGTATAAGTGTTCTAGTGTGATAGATCATATATTCACCGAATGCAAGCGAGAAACGCAAAGTGGCCTTTGCTTTCTCCTGCCAGCTTCGGTGCTGATCACTGTCCCAAGATCCAACAGCCCTTATTTTCTAGGCTAGTGGACTCCTGAAGTCATCCTTGCTGTATTTCATGCCGCCCAGGACACCCATCTACCCCAGACTCCGAGTAACTCCAGCAATTATCCGGTCCCCCCCCTTCCCTCTCGCAAGGAAGAGCCACATGAAGTCAAAGCTACAATTCATCATGATATTTGCTATTGTCTCGACAGACCTACCGCTTGCTACTCTGCCTCCCCAACCGTCGCCAGCCCCGCCACGGCCTCAGCCACAATCTCCTGCACGGTGATGCCCGCCAACAGCTTCAAGACCGGCACATCAACCCCCAGCTCCGCCATGATCCACGCGCGGATGTCGACCGCGATCAACGAATCCACCCCAAGATCCACCAGCGCCGTGGGCTCGAGGACCGGCTGATCGGCGGGGAGATGGAGACTGGACCGCACCTTAGCGACGAGGCCCTCGAAAATGATCGTTCGAGCGTCCGCCTGCAATTTGGCCTGTGCCAACCGCGCTCGCGTCGACGACGCTGCGGTCGTCCCCGCCTCCTTCTCTCCACCCGGGAGGCCACGTTGACTACTCCCACGTAACCGGGGTTGTCGCTGCCAGTAGTGCGAGAAGCGGGCGTTGGTCGCCCACGTCACGCCGCGCTGGGCTGCACCCTCTGGATCGTCGGTCAGAGTGATCCGCGGAATTCCAGCTGTGATGATCGCTGACTCCGACTCGACCAGTGCATCCGACGACGACGGGGATGATGAGAGTGCCCCTGGTGAAGGGGAAGGCTGGCCCGCGCGAATCCCCTCGGCAAACAGGGCATGCAGCGCCCGCTCCCCCATCGGCAGACAGTACGCCTCCAGGCGCGCCATCTCGTGGGCCGAGTACTGCCCCCGCTGCCGCTTGACGTACCCGACGTCTGTCATGCGGGAGATCTGGATCACCGAGCCCGCCACGTGGCGTCGCCGGCGGCGTGTGATCAGCGCCTCCGAGGCGACGTTGGCCGCGGTGTAGGCGCTCTGGCCCAGATGGCCCAGCGTGGCCAGGACGGAGGAGAAGGCGATGAAGAATCGCAGGGGTTGGTCACCGACCAGATCGTCGAGGTGGCGCAGCCCCTGGACCTTGGGTCCCAGGACGGCGTGCACTTCGGCGGCGGTGGTCTGCGCGAAGAGGTTCTCCCGCATCAGCATGGCGCCATTGGCAATTCCGTCCAGCCGCGGGTAGGTGGTGGTGATAGTGTGGTAGATGGCGTGGAGGCTGGGTCGCGAGGTGATGTCGCTGTGTGGTTTGAGGGGGCTTTGAGTCAGTTCTGGTTTCTTCGGCTCGTTTGACGCATGAACTCTGGGAAGGGGGAAGGGCAAGGGGGAAGAGAAAAGAGAAAGGGGGAAGAGGGAAGGGGACTCCGTACCCAACTAGGGAAATGATGTTAGCTCCGTGGGTTTCGCGATATCTGTCGACCCAGTCGGCTGGCATTTGCGGGTTTCGGCTGGTCAATATGATCGTTCGGGCGCCGCGATCAATCATCCACTCGCACAGGGACTGACCGAGGTCGCCGGTCAGGCCTACGAGCCAATAGCTTCGATCCGGTCGCAGGATCTGCGTGCCAGTCGCATCGATGGGCTGATACTGAACAGGGAGAGGGGTTGAGCAGGTCCAGTCGACAATGGGAACCCCCAATAGGGATCCGGGCTGACGATTCAGGAGATCGGACACCGCATACGCAGGATACTGCGCGCCCAACGTCTGTCCGATGAAAGCTTCCGCGGCTGTATGAGCGGTCCCGAGAAGCTCCGTCAGGTCGGTTTGTGGTAGAAGAGGCGGCAGAGAAGAAGATTCAGGGGTGATCCCCGAGGCAGAGGCATATTGTTGGCAATGCCGGGGCAGATACTGCAGGATCCCGGCCGCAGCCCTAATGCTGCTATTGGTGTCTGCGAGATGGATGACGGCCTGAAGGTTTTGGGGAAGCGCGGTGCTCACGACTCGCCTGGGCGCTCGTGGATTGCAATACACCCACGGCGCGGTACTGGCCAGTATTTTGCTGCCCGTCAAATAGTGCACCTGGCATTTCTTCGCTTGGAGCTGACCGGTCCAGATTGCTTGATGCCTCGCCGCGGCACGGTCAATGGCATAGAGCAGCACGCTGCTTCCAGGCGCAATGTCCTCCACGACCGCTGCCACGGCCAGATGGGCGACCAGAAGATCGAAGTAATGCGGATGACGTGTCATCTCGGGGTCCACGATCATGGAGGAGAGTCTTGGCACGGTCAACATCGACGAGATCGCATTCGAGGCGACCACCACCGTCTCACCGGAGACACAATCCAGGCCCTGGTGAAGAAAGACGGGCCCAGCCAGGGTCGGTAGCGCTGTCAATGCTGAGCGTGTCGTGCGCACAACGAGAGAGTCCACGTCAACCTCGGCCAACACCGAGGAGAGGGGACTCTTCATGACCAGAGTGAACGTATCCTGCTGCCATTCCAACGAACAGGCTTGTGTGTCCACCCGGACAGGAACCGGGATCTTCCGCCTGACGCTGTTGAGCCGGTTGTTGGCCGCCTCTAAGGGGTGCAGTCGCGGCACCAGGAGCTGCCCCATCGAATCCAGGGCCAGCTCCGGCTCGAAGGTGCAGAGTCTGCCCGGGTCGTCGCTTGTGCTGACCAGCCGGAGGAGGCTCTCGACGATGACTGTCACGGCCGTATCGGGCTCAACTCCGCGGCTGAGATCGAGCATCTGCAGGCGCAAATGGGGCATTTCATGGAGGAGAGATCGCCCCAGACCAACGGAGAGAGCCGACGACGCATTTCCCGCGCGATAGTCATCGGTCACCCAGAGCATATGGCGGGCCGAGTCCACGAGAGTCTGCAGCCCTTGCCAGGCCCCTTCCGACGGCTCCAGGCTTTCCGGGTCCAGGTGGGCCAGGTTGAGTACCGTCGGCTTCGTGGGAAATGAAGCGCCATGCAGCTCCTCCAACGAGTGGACGAGCGTAAGGTGGCGCGTATAGGTCGTCATCTGCGTCTGCACTCCCCGCAGAACCTCATCTCCGGGGAAGCTGAGCGCGGAGGTGACGATGACCAGCTCCTCCATGACCGGCTCTGGCGACGACAAGGCGAGGAGCGGCGCTTGCGTCAAGTCAACCTGATTGTCCACCGCTTGCGCCACCATGACACTGATCGGCCAGGCAATGGGATCCTTCAGCGGCGTGTGCGTGTCAACGCCCGAGAACCCGGTGGCCACAAGCAGCTCCTGCCACGCCTCCAGCGAGACCGTGGGCGAGTAGCGACGCCCTTCCTCGCGGCCAGCCCACCAGCCCGTGAAGCCTCCGAAAATCAGCCCCAACGCCATGGGTCCATCGCCCAGCACCTCAGTCAGGACCAGAAAGCCGCCGGGCTTCAGCAACCGCCGGACCCGACGTAGGGCATCCCGCAGCGAGGCCGCCACATGCAACACCGCATAAGCGACAACAACATCATAGCTGCCTTCCTCGAAGCCCTGCTCCCCGGGATCGACGTCGAGATCGAAGGTCTGGAAGTCCATGCGGTCAGCGTAAGGGGCGAACTGCTGCGCCGCCTTGTCGAAGAAGCCCGCCGACACGTCGGTGAACATGTAGCGCGCGAGAGCGTCGCCGAGGGCGGGCAAGACGGAGCGCGTGGCGCAGCCCGTGCCCGCGCCGATCTCCAACACCTGGAGCCGGCGATAGCGATGGGCGAGCTGGCCGATGATCGCCCCCAGCGGCTCCTGGGCCGGCGCGCACACCAGACTGTTCTGATACCACTCGCTCAGCGTGTCATCCGCCATGAAGCTCTGCAGCATCGTTGTATCGTCGCGGATGACCGCGGGCAGAACTTCCCACGCTAGATGGATGAGTCGGAAATCGATATCTTCGGGCGAGTATCGGCTGCGAATCTGCTCGATGTCCTCCGCCGTGTCCTGCAACCACTGCGGAGGCGCGTACTGGTGTTGCTCCGTCCGGACGCTCTCCTGCAGCCAGGCGCAGAAGTCCAGGAAGGCGACGTGGTGCGGGTCAATCTCCGCGGTCGTTGCTTGCATCTTCCCTGTCTCCGCGTCGAGGAACTGCCCGCTGATCTGACGGAGATAATACAGGGCCACGCGTTCCCAGTCGAGGGCTTTGGTGAGCATTGCCGGCGATGCGCGTCGACTGCCGAGGGCCTGCTCGCCGTTGGGCTCGGCCACCTCCCAGCGCGTCTCGGAGAACAGCAGGAGATCGTTGTCGGCCGTGGCCGGGGAGGCGGGCATGGTGTTGAGGCGTTCCATCTGGACGAGCCCTTGCCCGGCGGCATTGAACAGGGCGACATCGCCACAAATCCCGTGCGGGTCGGCCTGCTGCACATAGCTCTCGACCTTGAATTGAGGGGGATCACCTTCCCCCAGACTGTTGCAGAGCGGCAGGTTGATTGCCACCCGCTCGATCGAGACGGGCATGTACAGGGTCCACAGACCCCCGTCCCGGTGATCCGTGAAGGCCGAGAACAGAACCTGCACGGCATTGTCCAGCAAAGCCGGATGAAGCCCTGGTTCGTCGGCCGTCGCGTCAGTTGTCCAGTCCACCTGTGCAATTGCCTGTCCTAGAGATCGACGGAGGCGGGCAATCCGCTGGAAGGGGCCGCTGTATTCATAGCCGAGCTGGGCCAGATGGCTGTACATGTGTCCGGGATCCAGCTCTGCCATCGCTCGTGAGGCAGGCGACGAGGTCCCTGCTTCGGGCAGAAGGTCCTCAACCAGGTTGCCCAGCTGGACCGTGATGTTCATCGTGGCCGCAGCGCTGGTGGACCGGCTCGTCTCCTCTGTCCGGTCCACATCCAGATCCACCGTGCACCTCGCCTGCACCAGCTGCTCCTCATCGTGAGACACATGCAGCGTGACGGCGATGTTGGCGCCAGCCTCCTCGTCTACCCGAAGAGCCTTGAGGAAGTGCACGTCCTCGAGAGTGATCGCTTGCACTGGTCGCCCTGCCGCCACCTGCAGCGCGGCCTCCACCCCCAATGCCAGATATCCCGTGGCCGGGAAGATGACCTGGCCTTGGAGGACGTGTCCCCGGAGCCAGTCCAGCTGCTCGACACGCAACTCATTCGACCAGCGGCACACGGAGCCCCTGCCCACTCCCCCATCCAGCTCATCCCGGGACCCCAGCAAGCTGTGAACCGGGCTTTTACATATAGTATGCTGCGTGACCAGTTGTCTCTTGGAGCGCGGCGACGGCGCTGGGAGCCAGAAGCTATGCTCATGATCCCAGGGATACCTGGGCAGGCCCGTCAGCCGTGGACGACGAGTTCCTGGCACTGTGAGCCCGAAGGCCTGGAGACGGGGCACTCCGGCACGACCCAGATGCACCCACAAGTCCCCCAGACATTCCGACACCGCGACTCCATCTGGCTTGCTGCGATGCAGGGTACCCGAGTAAGGGAGGGCCCCACCGCGGCTCTCGAGCATCGTCTGCGTGGCCGGGCCCTGCAGCGCCGGATGGGGGCCCAGCTCGAGACAAAAATTCACCTCTGGCGTGTCCGGGTCTGTCAGCGCGTGGGAAAGCGCCGGCTGGAAGAGCACGGGATTCACCAGATTGTCCACCCAATACGAGGCGGCCAGCTCGTGAGCATCATGCTGCTCACCATGGACCATGACCTGGTCCGGCCGAACGCTCGAATACCAGCGCGGGGCCTCGTCGCCGGCGGGAGGCCGCAAGACCTGGATGTGACACCGGACCAGCGCCGCATGATACGCGGCGGCGCACGCGCGCATATGATGCGAGTGGTAGGCGGTGCCGACCTTCAGCAGCCGGTTGAAGACCTTGCCCTCGTCGAGGTAGGTCTGAGCCTCGGCCACCGCGTCCGCGTCGCCCGAGAGCGTCACGCTGGCCGAGGAGTTCACGGCTGCCAGCGCGAGGCGGCCCTCAAACGCCACGGTGTCGACCAGCTCCTCGGCCTGCGCCTGCGACAGCCCAGCGGCCAGCATGCGACCCTCCTTGGGCAGCGTCGGGAGCACGCGGCCGACGTGCAGGCCGCGGTAGAAGGCAATGCGGATTGCGTCCTCGGGCTCCAGGAACCCGGCGACCACGGCGGCGGCGATCTCCCCTGAGGAATGGCCCACCACTGCGGCAAACGAGACGCCGCCGACGGCTTGCAGCAGGTGCGCGAGCATGAGTTGCACCGCGGTGCAGGCGGGCTGGCAGATCTCGGGGACCTCCAGCCGCGAGGTCTCGGCCGGTCGTTGTAGTTCCTCGCGCAGGGACCAGTCTGGTCGGTCCTCCTCGGGCAACGACTGCAGGGCGGCGTCCAGCCGCTCAAGAATTGCGGCCAGCGGTGGATACGTGGCGAGCAGGCCCGCCCCCATCTGCGACCACTGCGCGCCTTGACCCGTGAAGATGCCCAGGATGCGCGATTCGCGGAATGGGGAGCGGTGGCCAGCTGCCGACGGGGGGGAATCTCCAGCGAGAACCCTGGCGATATCTTCTTGCAATGCTTTGATTGGGGAAGCGGGGAAGCGAATGCGCACGGGGAGAAGGGATCGCTGGTCGGCCAGGGTCGACGCGAGGTGGGCAGGCTCGATTGAGAGATGCGCCTGCAGGTGTTCGTCGTATCGCTTGAGCATCGCCACCAACGACCGTTCTGACGCAGCTGAGAAGACATACGGCAGAAGCGACGATGAGACCGGCGTCAGCGATGGCGAGGCATCCCCAGCAGCGGTCAGAACGGCGTCCTGGAGCGTAACGGACTCCAAAATGACATGGGCGTTGGTGCCTCCGAAACCGAAGCTGTTGACGCTGGCTCGACGAGGGTCCGTCGCGGCGCACATTGATGGCCAGGGCTCGGCCCCGGTAGGGACCGTCAAGCGCGTACAATATGGGGCGACCTTCGGGTTCAGCGTTTGGAAGCCCAAATTGGGTGGGATTCGCTCATGCTGTAGGGCCAACGACGCTTTCAGGACGCCTGCCAGGCCCGCCGCGCCCTCGGTATGGCCGACGACTGTCTTGACGCTGCCGACCCACACCGACGGGCCGGCCTCGCTATCGTCCGCAGGGGATGTGAGCGAGAATGCGGTGGCGAGTGCTTCTGCCTCCAACGGATCTCCGGCCTGGGTACCGGTGCCATGGGCCTCGATATACTGCGGTCGGTCGCGCGGCTGCGTGGGATCCAGGCCCGCGCGACGGTATACGTCACGGATCAGGCTCACCTGCGCCGAGGCGCTGGGCAGAGTGATGCCACTGGTGCGTCCGTCGTGGTTGACCCCGGTCTCTCGGATCACGCACTGGATGTCGTCGCCGTCGGCGAGGGCGCGGGAAAGCGGCTTCAACAGGACTGCCACAATCCCCTCCCCGCGGGCGTATCCATCGGCGCGAGTGTCCCACATCTTGCAGCTGCCGGTCGGGGAGAGCATGCTCAGATTGCTGAATCCGATGAAGGGGCGGCCGTCCAGAAGCAGGTTCGCCCCTGCCGCCACGGCCAAGTGCGATGCCCCCGTCCGCAGCTGCTGCACCGCGTGGTGGAGAGCGACCAGGCTTGAGGAGCAGGCGGTATCCACCGTCACTGACGGACCATGCCAATCGAAGAAGTGGGAAATGCGATTCGAGGCCTTGTTCGGCGCGGTGCCCGTGATGTGATACGTGGAGATGGCGTCCGGGTCCTGGCTACTCAGCGCCAGATAGTCATGGAACATCACGCCCGTGTAGACGGCGGTATCGGAGCCACGCAGTCGCTCGATCGTCAGTCCTGCCTCCTCCAGCGCCTCGTAGACGGTCTCCAGTAACAGGCGGTGCTGCGGGTCCATGGCTTGCGCCTCCAAGGGATTCAGGCTGAAGAAGGAGGCGTCAAACTTGGCGACATCCTGGGAAAGGAAATACCCCCGCGGGGAAGCATTGTGGCGTGAGGGAGGGATGCGATGAGGAGGGATGTCTTGGGAGACGTCGTAGGGCTGTTGGAGGAGAGTCCAGAGCGTCGACGGAGAATCACACCCCCCAGCCAGTCGACACCCACTGCCTATAATGGCGATGGGTTCGTTCATTGGGAAAGATTGGAAGTGTTTGAAGGGGAGAGAAGAACCAAAGAAAAAGGTTTACTCGATCATTACCGAGGTGCGCAACGTCGTCTCTATACGAAAAGGAAGAATGAATTCGAGTTCTATGCCAGGTTCTATGCAATTCTCAGGCCGGAGCTGAAGTCCAGCTCATCTATGTCATACACACACAAACAGAAAGGAGATGGAAACACGAGGAAAGGCCAATCGCCCCAGAGGCGTTGTCAGCCAGCCATGTCACCTTGCGTTCGATGCTGATTAGTCCGATAAGGTTTGATGCTGCCAGCGCCATACGCCCGGAATCCCTGTCATCATGCCAGACTGGGGGCTTTGTAGAGGAACTGAGCAACCTTGCGTGCCAAAGCAGGATCACGAGGAATTTCATGTCCGGCCGCGGTCTCCACCATTTGAGCCTGACTTGTCATGCAGTGCGTTTGCAATGCAAGCGAGTCGGCCCGATAGGGGTCTTTAGCGCCAACGATATGCAGCGATGGGATGGAGATCTGGGCCAGCGGACCCAGACGCATGGGAGCCCTCCCATACGGCCACAGTAGCGGTGTGGCTGCATTCCATTCCCGACAAAGCAGGGGATGATCAGCGGCGCCAAAAACGCCCCTAATCTCGTCCGTCTTCCAGAGAAGCTTGGGTGGACTCCCTTCCCCGGCAATTGAACGACAGTGTCCCTCCTGATCTAGGGTAAACCCAGGGCTGTCGAGATCCCAGCATTGAATGGCACAGAAGAACACCGCACATCTGAATTCGTTGTGCGGACATGGCCGACTGGCATCGTGAAGAAGATAGGACGCCGCCAGGGCGGCCCCTTGGGAGAAGCCTATGATGCCATCAAAGGGGCCATGCAGGTCGATATATTGCTCCAGGCGGTTGATCACTTCGAGCACGGCACTCGGCGAGGGAACGGTGAAGTAGGAGTAGTACGGCCCCGGAAAGAATATCTCGACCCCTAGTTCGTCGTGACGGTCAGTTGTCGCCCTCACTGACACGCAAAGCCCACTGTTGTCAAAAGAAGCTTCTGACCTGGTGCGGGGGCAGTTTCCAGCTCCCCCTGGAAATAGACGAACTCGTGGCCTGGCAGCTGACGTTTGACCATGTATAACTGGGCTTCCAGAATGGCGTTTCCGGTGCCGATACCGTGGAGGCAGAGAAAACGCATGCTGATTGAATCGGTGGTGCGCGGGTGGCTGAAATCCTATTTCCGAGTCGACTACAACATCCTTTTATGGCGCTTCAGCCCCTGTGCTGAGCGCAAGTACGTGTGAGATTACGTTGTGGCTTGCCCAAGCGGTCTGGATTACATGATGATCTACGAGCTCGGTAGCTGCATGAGACACGGGCACTTGCAGTCAGGAACAGAAGCACAAGATATCCATGAAGAACGAACTATCTCGGCTGGGATGCAGTCTGGTCGATCATAACTTGTCGACGCAAGGGGGAGCAAGGGTGATGTGATATCGAATCGACAGGCAGTCTCGCACTACAGCTTAGGATTTCAGCCGAGGCAACACGAGCAGCAAAGAGGCAAGCCTCCATAAAGCGATTGCATCGGCCTTCAATTGCACCGTGCTCACCTACCACCTATCTTCCCATCTTGCCAAATTGCTAGGTACCAGCAAGATGACCCGACTTCATCCCGGCCGCAGACCTACCCACTTCAACTTTGCCCGAGACGTCATTGATCGGTGGAGTGAGCAGCGAGCAGACTCCGCCGCTCTCGTTCTGGTGACACAGGGAAAGCGCCGCGATGTCACGTATCGTGAGCTGAGTGAGCGCTCCAGTCATGTTGCCGCCGCGCTGTATGCGCTTGGAGTGCAGCAGGGCGATACCATTGTCATCTCGGCCGCGCGTTGTCGGGATTGGTATGAGATCCTGTGTGCGACAATTCGCAGTGGCATTCTGGTCTGCCCCGTGGCCGGCGCGCTGTCGGCTTCCGATCTCGAATATCGTATGCAGAAAGTCGGCGCAAAAGCCTTCATCGGAGACCTTCCCCAAACTCAGAAGGTCCTGTCGGTCCGGTCACGTCTCCCTGCCCTCCAACACTTGATCCAGGTCGGGCCTGACGAAACGGTCCCCGAGGCACTCGGCTATACAGCCCTGGCTGCCATGGGACAAGCGAATGGCGCAGACACGACAATCGATTCGGAGGCGAGCGCGCCCTGCGTCCTCTATTTCACCTCGGGGTCAACGGGGCAGCCCAAGTTGGTCCAGCACAGCCAGATCTCGCTGGCCTTGAGCAGTCGCATCGCCGGAGAGCACTGGTGTCAGCTCCGTGCGGATAGCCTCTTCTGGAGTCTCTCCGAAGTGGGCTGGGTCAAGGGCTCGTGGGCGGTCTTCGCAGCCTGGAACCATGGCGCCGCTCTGCTTGTGGATGAAACCCCCGCGCTGGCCTTCGACCCAATTCACACACTGCAACTCTTGCACGAGTATCCGGTCACCAGCTTCTGTGCCACCCCGACAGCCTACCGGCAACTCGTCACGTCGACGACTCGGGAGTTTGCGGCCACCCACGCGCCTCAGGCCCTAAGGGTCTGCATCAGTGCTGGGGAGGCAATCGAGGGGTCTGTTATCGAGGCCTGGCGACAGATGACTGGGGGGGTCACGATACTCAACGGGTATGGTCTCACGGAGACCGTCTTTCTGTGCACGGAATCCGCCGACGATCAACGGCCGGGGTCCATGGGTCGACCTCTGCCCGGGATCCCGCTGGAGATCCTGGGAGAGAGCGCGGAACCAGTTTCGACCGGAGAAGAAGGAGCGCTGGGGGTGTGCTTGTCTGCCTGCGCCGATTCTCTGTACGATGTCTTCAATGGCTACGTCGACGACCAAGGGGTCGTGTCGCGACCAGTGGTCCGCAACACGAAGGGGATGGAGTATTACCTGACCGGGGATCGGGCCTACCGGGACGCGGACGGTTATTTCTGGTTCAAGGCGCGGCAGGACGATATCATCAACTGCTCGGGGTATCGCATCGGCCCCAGCGAGGTGGAAGCTGTGCTCCAGATGCATCCGGGGGTGCTGGAATCGGCGGTCATTGGCATCCCCGACGACGAGCGCGGCTCGGTCATCAAGGCCTACGTGGTGCTGAACCAGGAGTACGAGCAACATGCGCCGCGCAAGCTCAAGGTAGAACTGCGGCAGCATTGTCTGAACCACAGCGCCCCTTACAAGTGTCCACGGGTCATCGAGTTCCTCGCCAGAAGCGATTTGCCTCGCACGGTAACGGGGAAGGTCCAGCGTCATGTGCTGCGTGCTCGTGAGCAGAGACAGTCAATAGGAACAGCATAGTATAGGAATCGAATCAATTAAGTGCTAGTATCTACCGTGTCTCTCTTCCAGTCGCAATCTCTAAATGTAAAGATGACCTCCACTCACGGAGACTGTATTGCCGTTAATCCAGCTGGCCCCCGGACTAGCCAGAAACGCGACGACGTTGGCCACCTCTTGCACGGTGCCATGACGTTTGGCTGCGCTGGGCCCCTCGATCTGTGCATCCCGGAACTCGTCGGGGATATCCCCCCCCTCCACGGCGGTATCAATCTCTCCCAGTGCGACATTGTTGACCGTCATCTTATGTGGGCAGGCCAGCTCGTGCGCCCACTGACGGCCCAGGCATTCCAAGGCGGCCTTGGTGGCCGCGTAGAGAGACAGGTTGGTAGCACCGATGCGAGACAGGGCGGACGATCTGCAGAGCGCCCATCAGTCTAGAACAGCAGCAGGCAGGCAGTGTTGGCCAGCGAACTTACATATTGATGACGCGTCCGTCTTTTTCCGCAAGGTGAGGGAGCAGGGCCTGCACCAGCAGATGTGGAGCACGGACATTCACCATAAACTCACTAGACAATAGAAAGGCGTGCGTCAGTCAATAGAAACCCTGGATCAACGCTCAGCAAAGGGTTTGGAGCGCCAACTGTTCAAACAACGCCCCGTCGAGCTCTGCGACCGGCAGGAAAGGGGGATATGCTGCTGCGTTGTTGACGAGAATATCGATGCGCGAGACCTGCAGGCCCTGTAGCGCCTGTTCGATTACACGACGGCCGGCATCCAACGTCGACAGATCCACCTGCACTAGGGTCGCGACACCACCCAAGGCGCTGATCTCCCCTGCGACCTTCTGAGCTGCCGGAGTACTTTTGTCTGCATGGTAAACAATCGCAACCCTAGCGCCACGCTGGGCGAGTTCGATGGCAATCCCAGCTCCAATGCCGCGGGAACTGCCAGTCACAATGGCGGCTTTGCCCGCAAGGGAGACGGTGGGGGGCAAGTTGAAGACGGTCATTGTCGCGGCTGTCACCTTGGATCGGGGTGCTGGATGACACTGCTGGAATGCGGAATGGAGGAGAGAAGGGAGAGAGTCTTGACCGACAGTGTTAAGATATGCTCGATGGCCGCAAGTGCTTTTCCGAAGCCACGTCAGCTCACATAGCATCGCGTAACTCATCGTGCCGATTCGGGCACGAGAGAATGACACCTTAGACATGCATGCAGAATATATTGTAGGTCTGTGGTCCAAGCGCGCAACATGATTTCCCTTCTTCCTACCTGGCCATTGTCATGCAGCCTGCAAAGGGCTGGTGAGATGGCTCTGCATTCCTACCCGACCGATTAGGGCAACCCGCGAGCCGATCCCCCCCCTTGGTGCATGTAAGAGGCAGATCGCCTGCAGGAAATTATCGCAACCCGTACACTTATTTGTTCTCGAACAGATGCATTGAGTCCGTCCTTCGAGGATTTCGCTTGCCATTCCACGATTTCCAGGACTGTCTCTGCGCCATTTACGGTCCATCTGCCGTGCTCAAACATGGGTTCCACCGAGCGGGAAAGCACCTGCTACAATTCCGCCTATCTGGCCGAGTACTACGACATCTGGACTGGGAAACGCAATGACACCGCTTACAACGCGGACTCTCTCATTCGGATGATCACCTCGTCCAAGAGGCCATCTTCTCCGCTGCTCGTGCTGGACGTCGGCACCGGTACCGGCCGCCTCATCCAGGCGATGGCTCGTCATGCAGCAGCGACCCCGGGGGTCTCCCTTGCCAACGTCGAGTTCATCGGGCTGGACATCGAGCCGCACATGCTCGCGCGGGCGGGTGCGATCAACGCCACCCTGGCGGTCGAGACCGGGTGTGCGCGTATCACCTGGCTCCAGGGGTCGGCGCTGGAGATGTCCGCCCTGCCCATCTTCCACCCGCAGGACCCGGCGACGCGGAGGACCGTCGACCTCCTCACGATCGGGTTCGGCAGTATCTCGCACTTCTGCCTCCCGGGCCAGCCGGAGCAGTTCCTCGGGGAGGTGGCCCGACTTCTGACCCCGGGGACCGGGCTGGCCCAGATCTCCGTGGTGAACAAGCTGCTCGTCGACCCCGAACGGGGACTGGACAAGGAGATCACAGACCCGTTGCCGCCCAGCGAACATGCCAGCGTCGAGTTCCCCGGCGTGGTGTATCGCGAGACGGTGACGGAGAACGGGGTCGAGGGCAACGTGTGGCGCGTGGTGCGCCATATCGAGGTCTGGCAGGGTCGCGAGACGCTCCTCGAGCGAAATCTCGACACCGCGGTGTTTCGCGTCTGGACGGAGACGGAGATGCGGGGGATGATTGCGGCGGCGGGCTTACGGCTGGTCGAGGTGGTGCCCCAAGAGGTAGATACTCTGTTCATAGTCAGTGTCTGAGATGGCTGGATGAGGGTAGATTAGAGGTAGATATACCTCGAAGCCAGATAAACCTAGTCATGAAATCACATCAAATCACATCGAGTAGATCCTGCAGTCTTCGTCGGGTATTATAGAGGGGACGTCTCCTGGGTTAGTAGGGTAGTAGAAGACTATGGCAATATCAATTGTCAAGACTGAACAAGAAAAAAGTGTAGGCGCTCGACAGTCCGCGGTTTGCCGCCTGATCAGAATGCATTGCTGCCCCTTCCTTGGACGTGCGTGCCGATCGTCGATTGTGTCTTCGTCCATAGATATATATAGCCGTCGACCGAGATTCAGCCCCCCTCCCTTCCCAGGTAGGTCCTTTCCCTGGGAAAGACACACTCGGCTGTTGAGTCCTGCCCTTGACTTAGCCCTGTCATACATATACCCAGGGATCAGAGATCATTCAATCAGATAAGAGACTATGGGGAGCATCGGTGAGACTCTCGCGACAGCCGCACCAGACCACGAGCTGGTCAAAGCGCTTTGGTGTCGAATACTGGATCTCGAGCCGGACGATGTGGAAGCCGACTCCAACTTCTTTGCTTTGGGGGGCGATTCGATCGATGCGCTGAAAGTGGCGCGACTGGCCCAGCAGGCGGGGATAGCCCTAACTGTCCACCTGATGATCCGCCATCCTCGATTGTCCGAGATGCTTCTCGCTGCGGCCGAACAACGAAAACAACAACAAGAACAGCAGCAACCAGAAGATCCTGAAGACCCCGCCTCGTCCCCCGGCGGTCGATTTCTCCAAATTCCACCCTCCCGGCAGGATGAGGTGTTGTTGCAGGCCGTGCAGCAATGTCAGGTCGCCGAGTCCGCCGTGGCCCGTCTGGTGCCGTGCACCCCGATGCAGACGGGTCTTGTGGTGTTGACCGCACAACAACCAGACTTGTATTGGGCGGAACAAACCTTCGAATTACCCCGCGAGTGGCCCGTGGCGCAGGTTGAAGCAGCGTGGGCGATGGTGGTCGAGGCCAACGAGGCCCTCCGCAGTCGCATCATCCAGCTTCCTGATGGAACCTGTTATCTGGCGGTGCTGCATCCGCAAATGGTGGCCACGAAGCCGGAGACGACAACAAGTCTCAGTCGAGGATCTCCCTTTGGGCAGCCTCTGTTTCACTGCTGGGTTGAACCCGGACGCCTGCGGTGGCATGTGCATCATGCGGTCTACGACGCGTGGTCGCAACGTTTGATCCTGGACGCCGTGGTGGAAGCGTACCGCGATCCCACCAGTCCCCGGATCGCCCACCCCCCGTTCTCTGCGTTTGCCAGCCATCTCGCGCAGATGGATCTAGGTCCGTCTACGGACTTCTGGCGACAGTATCTCCACGGGTTCGAGGGTCAGCCCTTCCCTCGCGCCCTGTCTCTGAACGAGTCCAGAGTCCAGGCCCATGTCTCCGCCTCGTCTGTCTGGGGCCCTCACCAGCAGCATCTAGGATTCACGGCCGCTACCGCAATCCAGACCGCGTGGGGGATTGTGCTGCGGCGGTACAGCGAGACATCAGATGTGGTGTTTGGCGTGGTGAGCACCGGACGCACCGCGACAGAGATTGCCGGGGCCGACATCGCCCGCATCATCGGACCGACCATTGCCACCTTTCCAGTTCGCCTGCGAGTCGATGAAGGCTTGACCACCGTGGCGGCGTGTCTGACATCCACCCAAGCGCAACATGGCGATTGCCTACCGCACGAGCATGTGGGACTGGCGCACATCGCCTCCCTGGGCGAATCTGGCCCCGCGCAGGCCACGCGTTTCCAGAGTCTCCTCGTCGTTCAGCCCGACGACGACGAGCCCAACGATAGCAGCCGCCGCCCTATTCGAGAGGTCTGGGGCGAGCGACGCGACGACTACATGGACTACCCCTTATCCCTCGAGTGCTTCCTCAGCCCCGGCGCGATTCGCCATACGCTCACATACACCGAGTCCTGCATGACTCGGTGGGAGGCGGAGCAACTGCTCGCACGGTTCATCCACGTCCTCGACTGGATCGTTCAGCCCGCCAACCAGCACTCCCTCGTCTCGCAGCTCGACCTCTGGACCCCATCCGACGCCTTCACCATGCAACAATGGCATGCCACTCCCATCCCCTTGGTCACCGAATGTCTGCAAACCATCATTGAGCGGCGCGCCGCTGCGGGAGAGTGGACCGAGCGTTCAGCGGTAGTGGCGTGGGATGGCGAGCTGACCTACCGGCAGCTTCTCGCAGTCTCCTGCCATTTGGCCCAGCAGCTGCAGGCTGCCGGGGTCGGCCCAGAGGTGGTGATACCCATTGCGCACGAGAAGTCCGTGTGGTCGGTCGTTAGTATACTTGCGGTCCTGCAAGCCGGAGGCGCCTTTGTGCTCCTGGACAGCGGCCTGCCGGTGGCGCGCATGCAGACCATGATCTCGGCCGTGAACGGGCCGCTCGTCATCTGCTCCCAACAGCTGCAATGCAAAGTGACGGATCTCGTAGATAGAGTCTTGTGTCTCGATCCAGAACGACGGGCGGACTTGCTGCAACGGTCCGCTACAACCACCACCACCACCACCACACCTCTGCCCTCCACTCCCTTGTCGAGCGTCACCGCTGCCAATGCCGCGTATGCCGTGTTCACGTCCGGGACGACGGGCATCCCGAAGGCAGTGGTGGCCGAGCACCGGCAGGTAGCCACCGCGTTCGAGGCGCAGGCCCGGCGGGGGATGTTTCAGGCGGGGCGACGCATGCTGCAGGTGGCCACGTACAGCTTCGACCCGTCAATCGCGGACATGTTGGGGCCCCTGCTGGTGGGCGGGGTAGTGTGCGTTCCGCGCGAAGACGAGGTCCTCCCGGAGCTGGCTGCCGTCATCCGCCGGTTCCAGGTGGATGTGATCGATATCACCCCCTCGGTGGCCAATCTGCTGGACCCGGCGGAGGTTCCGACGCTGAAGGAGTTGCGGCTGGGCGGGGAGGCTGTCACGGCCGTCCAGCTGGCGCGCTGGACGAGCAGCAGTAGCAGCTGCAGAAGTAGTGATAGCAGGAGCTCTCCACCGCTCCAGTTCCACAACAGCTACGGACCCAGCGAGTGCTGTGTGACGGCCGCGCTGACCCCACCGCTACATGACGCGGCCCATCCGCTGAATTTCGGGTTCCCCGTGGGCTGTCGGATGGTGATCGTGCACCCCGACGACCCCCGCCGGCTGGTGGCGCTCGGGCTCGTGGGCGAGCTGGCCATCCAAGGTCCGATCGTGACTCGCGGTTATCTCAATAACCTCGACGCGCAGGCCAAGGCATTCTGGGAATCGGCGCCATGGGAGGATCAATGCGCCTCCGGTCCAGACTCCCCCCCCTGGGCCTCGCGGGTCTATTTGACCGGAGACCTGGCGCGGTTCGCGGCCGACGGGTCGGTGATCTTCGTCGGGCGTAAGGACCATCAAGTCAAGCTGCACGGCCAACGGATCGAGCTCGGGGAGATTGAAGCGACTGCGCGGAAGCAGGATGGGGTCGAGGCCGCAGTGGCGATGGTGATGAAGACCAATGGGTGCTCAGAGCTGGTGCTGGTGGCCCAGTGCAGTCCCGGTCGTCCTCTACGTGGTGGTCGCGGCGACCTAGGGCTAGCACTGCAACTCCAAGACCAGCCGGATCTCCACAACTCGCTGCAACGCCATCTCGCCGCCCTTCTGCCCGCATACATGGTGCCTGCCATCTGTCTGCTGGTGAACCAGATCCCCCTCTCACTGACCGGCAAGACCGACCGCAAGGGGCTCCAACAGTGGGTGGAGGGGCAACAGGACCTGTCACGCTGGCGCACAAGTAAACCGACCGTCAGCATCCCCGCCACCGATCCTGTCGCCCGCAAGCTGAGCCAGCTGCTTGCTCAATCCCTCCCAGCACTCGCGTCTGGGTGGGATCCCAACGATCCGCCGGATGTTGCCCCCGTTGCCGCCGGACTCGACTCGATCCGCATGGTCTCGTTTGTGCGGGGCGTCAACCAGGCCTTTGGCGTCCGGCTGCCGCTCAGTCGCATCCCGCGCACGATGGTACTCACCGAGCTCGCGCACGAGGTGCGTCAGTTGCAGCGGGGCGCGGGTGACGAGACACCGGAGAGACACGCCGCACAGAACCAGGGCGAGGAGTTCGACCTCATGCTCGCGGATCTCCAGAGGGGGACGTCCGACGCCATGGCGCTTGCCAGCCCCCCTTCTCGCGCGCCGTCCTCTACCCCCGCCAAACACCATGTCTTCCTGACCGGCGCCACGGGCTACGTGGGAACCGCCATCCTGCACCGCCTGCTGACCGATCCCCGCGTCCAAACCGTCTACCTCCTGGTTCGCGGGGCCGCTGACGACCCGGCGGCCGGGCTCGCACGCGTGCAGGCCGCCGCCACCACCGCGGGGTGGTGGGACGAGACGCTCCACGCCCCGAAAGTGCGAGTCTGGCCGGGTGATCTGGCGCGGACGCACCTGGGACTGTCGGAGTCGGCATGGAGCCAGCTTGCAGGGAGAAGCCGCGGCGCAGAAGAAGACGACGGCGCAGCAGCAGCAGAAGCTGCAGCACCACCTCCGATTACGGCGATTATCCACAACGGCGCCCTCGTGCACTGGCACCGCAGCTACAGCGAGCTCCGCGCCGCCAACGTCCACGCCACGGCGCAGCTGGTCGCGTGCGTCGCCACCAACCCGCACATCAGACGCTTGGAGTACATCTCCGGCGGCGCGCAATGGGATCCCGCCGATACGCGGGTGGTCTTTGACTCCGCGACGCTGCGGCACAAGCTCCGCGAGACGAACGGCTATGGACAGAGCAAGCTGATCGCCGAGCAGATTGTTGCTGCGGCGGCGGTGGCGGCCGCACAGCAGGGAGAGCAACACGAACTACACCCAGGCACCGTTCCTATCCCTACTACGGCTTCTGCTGCTGCTACTACTCCTACTGTTCTAACTACTACTACCATCACCGATACTGCTATCGGTCCTTCTACTTCTAGTCCTCGACCTCGCAGGAGCGAAAGAGGACTCGGCATCCTGAACCCCGCTCTCATCATCGGCGGACCGCGCAGCCACCATCACGCGGCCAACCTGGATGACCTGCTTTGGCGGCTGGTGAGTGCGTGCACGCTGATCGGGGAGTATTATCCCGAGCCCGAGCCCGAGGGGGCGTGGATCTATGTCTCGACTGCCGACGCCGTGGCGGACGCAGCGGTGGCCGGTCTGTTCGGGTCCTCGACTGCTGATACCACGGCCACGGTCCACAAAGAAGAACTGCAGACACGGAGAATGATGCTCAGCGGGCTGCGGGTGGATACCTTCTGGGATGCGGTGAATGCCGGCCTGGACGAGGAGGACATTGGCGATGGCAAGCTGGAGCAGAAGAAATCCCAAGCACTGAAAAGGAGTGCCACGTATGCGGCCTGGCTGGCGCGGCTGAGCGAGTCGATGGCAGCCGTGGGCGAGGCGCATCCGTGCTGGCCGGTGCTCCATGTCATCGAGACGATGGGCACGGAGCTGCTCAGCAGTCGCATGCCGCCTCCCTCTGCATGGGGCCCCGGCGAGACGTGGGAGGAAGTCGAGCGGGAAATGGCGCGCGCGGTCACGCTCAACGTGCGCTACTTGCGGGGAATTGGGTATCTGGACAGGGCTGGGGCGGCTGGAACGGAGATTACGGGGGGGTTTCGGCGGAGGGGTTGAGTTTGATGTTGGCTTTTTTCTTCTGCTCTTTTCTGTTCTTTTGGAAACCACAGTTAGGGAACTTACAAAATGCTCTACAAGCTGTTAGGCTGTGGTGGAGAGATGCCGGAAGCGAGAGGGAAGAAAATGTCTATGCCTGGTTCTTGGTTTACCCTAATGTGAGAAATTCATATTGCAGAACGCAGATGCAGAATGACATGCCCGATTGGGGGATGAGGACAACAGCGAGGACAACAAATGCAGCATCTCAATCTACCTCCGCACAAACCCCTCCCACGTACCAAAGGCCTGCTGGCAATCCTTCTGATACTGTGGCAGCCCCGCTGCATAAGTCAACAGCTCACGCTTCTTGCCGGGAATGTTGCCGCCCAAGAACCAACTGTCCGGGGACTGGAGGAACAGGGTGCCATCGAACATCGCCTTGACCCGCTGACTCCACGCAGCCTGCGCGGGGGCCGTGGGCTCGAAAATGGTGTGGCCCCCAGCGTGCAGCGACTGCATGGCCTCGCAGATGAGCTGGCACTGCACCTCGATGCCGATGGGCCCGCTCGAGAAGGACAACGGGCCCTGCGGCCCCGCCAGGAAGAACAGGTTGGGATAGCCGTGGATGGTCATCCCCAGGTAGGTCTGCACGCCTTCTTCTGCCCGCCACTGGTCGTAGAGGGCTTCCCCGTCGACGCTCTCGAGCCCCATGTGGGTCAGGCCGCCGGTAATCATGTCGAAGCCCGTCGCGAGAGCGACAACGTCCAGGGGGAAGAAGCGGCCATCGGTGGTGGTGAGGCCTTTGGGCTCGAAGGAGCGGATGGCGCTGGCGCGGAGATCGACGAGGTCGACGTTGGGCCGGTTGAACTGGTCGTAATAGTCCAGCTCGACGGTCGGACGCTTCGCGCCCATGGGGTGGAGGGGCTCCAGCGGAGCCAGAAGGTCGCGCTTGCGGGGATCGGCGATGCGGGCCCGCGTCTTGGTCGCCCAAAAGTCGTACATCTCACGGTTGGCGGCCGCGTTGGTCATCACGTCCTGGTAGTTCGCGTAGACGTAGGGGAACCCCCCACGCTGCCACAGCGACTCCCGGAAGGCCTGTCGTGCGGCCGGGTCCGCGACGTCGGAGGTGTTGAGTGGAGTGAACTGGTAGTTGACCCCACTGAGGTGGGTATGACGGTACTGGCAGAAAGCCGCATGGGTCAGCGTGGCGTCGGGAGCCCAGCCCTCGGCTTGCATGGGGAGCGCAGTGTTGGGGGTCCGTTGGAAGACGGTCAGATGCTGCGCGCGTTTGGCCCAGTCCTGCACGATTTGCACCCCGGACGCCCCCGTGCCGATCACCGCGGCGCGCTTGCCGGCCAGCTCGATGCCTTCCTCCGGCCACTCGTACGAGTGCGTCACCGTTCCCTCGAAGGACTCGAGCCCCGGGAACGAGGGGATGTGCGGCACGGTGCCCGGGCCGGGGCAGGCGATCAGGAAGCGACTGGTGACGTGGCCGGCGTTGGCCGTCGTGATATGCCAGCGGTCTTCGCGGAACTGCCCATGCGTGACGCGCGTGTGGAAGTCAATGTCCTCCTTCAGCCCGAGCATCTTGTCCAGATAGGCGAAGTAGCGCCGTAGTTCCGGCTGGGAGGGGAACTTCTCACTCCACTGCCAGCTCTCCCAGATTTCAGGTATGGACAAGCCGTAGAAGGGTGCCTCCGTGTCGACGCGTGCCCCAGGGTAGCGGTTCCAGAACCAGGTACCGCCCAGATCTGACCCGGCCTCCAGCACGCGGCAGCGATGGCCTTGTTTACGAAGATGATAGAGCAGTGTGACGCCGGCAAAGCCGGCCCCTACAATGATCATATCATAGTCTGGCGGGGGTTGTTGAATGCCAACCATGTTGTTGTCGATATCAGAGCAGAAGAAGAATAGTTTAATCAGAGAGAAAACAGGGAAGAGAATGAAGAGAAGAAGAAGAAGAAGAAGAAGAAGAAGAAGAAGAAGAAAGAGAAAACGAAGCGCGGTGACAAGACAATCGGTAAGAGGGAGTGGGAGGGCAGGCCTGGTATGTTTATCTCTGACAGGAGTGTGCTACTGAACCGTACATACTACATACACACCACATTCCATCCTAGGGCTAAGATTATTCGAGGAAGGTGAATCGCAGATCAGCAGTAGGTCTCAATTCTGTGCCAGAAGATGGATCAACTAGATGGACTAGCACTACTACTACTCATCACTACTACTACTACTAGGTAGAGCATAAGAACACGTCCAGATGGCGGTCAGGGCAAGAATCTGCAGCGTAACCCTATCTTCATCAAAATCCCCCTTGCAGTCCGCTCACTTTCCACCACGCACGTACGTACGTCACGACGCAGCTAGCATGTCTCATTGCTTTAGCGGTTGGTTGGCCTTCAGGTCAATAGCGTCAGCCACCTCGCTGTAGTTATGCTGCCACAACCCTCCACCCAACGTCGGATACTGCGAGCGCCACGCGCACATCTTCTGCGCCAACGGTGTCATGGATTCGACGATCTCGCGGGGCATGATCAGGGGGTAGCACTCCTCGGGGGTGAGATAGCTCGCCTGGAAGCAAAGCGAAATCCCGCGGCGCCAGAAGTCCTCGGTGCGGTTCTCGCCGCCGCCGTGGCACAGCCGGCCGGTGAAGAAGAAGACGTCGCCGGCCTTCATGACGGCCGGCACCGCATCCTCGTCGCGGCCCCAGTCCTCGTAGTTCTCCCACAGGTGGCTCTTGGGGATGCCCCGGGTCGCCCCGTTGTCCGCGGTGAAGTCGGTCAGCGCCGTGAAGAAGCTGATCTGGATCTCATCCATGCGGGGCCCCAATTTGGTCAACCCGGGGAACTCGGCCGTGTCACGGTGCAGTTCCTGGGCCTTGCTGTGGGGGCCGATCTCGATTACCTGCGCGGTGCACATCCAGTAGTCGCCGGACTCCTTGCGGAAGACCGCCTCGCAGATCTGGTGGAGGAGGTCGTAGTTGAGGACCTCGTCGCGGAAGGTCTTGCTGAGGGTGGGCAGGTTGCTGAGGCGGCGGGTGTTGGCCCCGTGGAACTCGGTGATCCACGCCTCCTCCTCGACCTCGCGGTGGGTGCCACAGGTCACCTTAGCCAGATGGGGGTCGATCTCGCGGTTCATCTTGGCAATCTGCTCCGGGGTGAAGAAATCTTCCACCACGATGCCGCCGTCCTCGCGGAACATCTCCAGAATCTGCTCGACCGGGGCTTTGGCACTGATGCGCCGAAAGCTAGTCGGGGTCGGGCTCGTGATAGTCATTCTGGAAGTGGTGGAGTTGGAATGTAGCAATCCGGGGGGTGAGTGTTTGCGGGAGGGAGGGCGGAAGGGGAAATGCTCAGTGCTGGTGAGCTGTGTATACTCAGCCGGGCCATGAGGCCATGAGCTCCAACTTTCCTATTTATCTCTCGCACCACCACAGCGAGCGCGGATCGACGCTTCTCCTGTTGGCCACGAGGTTTCCCTGAGATGCACGACGTAGACTGCACCATCTGGATGGGCCCACATTCCGCAAGTCTCTGACGTGGCCCAGTCCCTTGCAGTTCCAGACAGCGGTGGTATGCGCTTATGCCCGTTCTGGCTGTCTCTAAACCTTTGCAGTCTTGGGTACACGTGCAGATCCCTGCAGTAAGAGGGCTTATCTTTTACCCTTCGTGCTATCCAGAATGCATGAGAAGGACGATCCTGGGCATTCTTGCAGCTGACAAGTAGAAGGTCTAGTCCTCGCAGGAGCTCAACGAAGATGCATTCTTTGGGGTTTTAAATGCTATGTTGGAGGTCAATTCGCATGAAAAACAAAAAGAAAGGAATAGAAAAAGGAGGCACGCTGCTATCATGAGGAAACATGTTACTGACCTGGCAGCGCTCACAAACACTGACTATAGATTGTAGTATTTGTGTAAGTTTCGTGATTGTCGTTAGCGGGTTGCATCCAACACCACCTATCTCCAGGCAAGAACTACAGAACCTAGCTGGCAGAAACATGGAGACGATATACAGCAGTCCGAAGCCAGTTTATCGAGGACGTCGATCAGATGTATCCCTCGATGGGAAACTAATATTTGGGATTTCTTCATTGCGGAGCATTCTCTCCATGTTAAATTTGAACACCCTGTGGCTGAAAGATACGTCAGCAGCAGCCTTTGCACAGAGGATTATTTGTATCAACCGAATGATCTCCTAAAATATGATGTGAAGATTGTATCAAATGATGAAAACTGTTGTAAGACTACTAGCAGAAAGGGATATCTAAACATGCATGTATAATATATATATAGATATACTGTTTGGAGCCCTTCCCTTTGCGGTGTATATTACTGTCACCACCGCGGCGCCGGTTGTATCTTGTGTCTTCATGGTTTCCGCTTCAGCTGACCTATCTTTGCTAGCCCTAAAACCCCAACCTCCGCGGGAGATTCTTCAAAGAACCCCACATCCGGCGCGACCACGATTCTCTTCCCCTTGAGCCCCTTCGTGCTGCCATCCGTGCAGGGAGCATGAACATTTCATTCCGCTCGGGCGGGCGCAGCCCGGTATCTGTCGAGAAAGTCAGGTAAGGTTGATCCTGTGGACCGGACACGACGACTCCGATGCTGATGGGGAAGAGATGGGCATCGGCGTCGTCCGCAGGTCGTCCAGAGCACAGCGCTTCGATGTGAGCACTGCTCGCGCCCCAGATAGGAAACCCTGTCGGCACTTCGGGATGGCGTCGCACGAAGGAATGCACCAGCAGCCCTGCTACCATCACAATTCCACAGATGGTCGCAAGGAGAATGGGCAGAAGGGCGTATCCTACAGCCGAGCCGGAGAAGTGCGGGAAGGTGACCTTCTCGCCGTTGGTGTCGAAGCCGATGGTCTGCACCACAAAGAGACTCTGCGAGACCAGCCAGTGTAGGAGGATCATGGCGATGGTCAGGGTGAGCGAGTAGGTCAGCGGCAGGGAAAGGAGATAGGACGAGCGCTGCATGCCCCGCGGGGTTGACACGCGCAACGCCTTCTTCCCGTCCGGCCGGAGGAAGCGCACCCACTGGTCGGCGACGAGCTGATGCGTCAGGATGTTATTGTAGAAGAGATAGAGGAAGCTGACGAGGAGCTGGATGATGTTAGCCAAGAAGACGCACTCCATCAGGCTGTAGTTGCTGGTCTCGCTGTTCATGCCGAGAAAGCCCGGGTTGAGGCCGAAGCCGAGCTGGATGATGGATGGGAGGCTCATGTCCAGACCCCGGCCTTTCCAGAAGACCACCGAGTCGACCAGTATAGCTAATGGGGCGGCTATACCTAGCATGAATCTGTCGGTTGTTGGTTAGCGCTGTACACTGTTTCGGCTTCTGGGTGCGGGAGGGAAACTCACAAGGTCAGCGATATCGCCCAGACCTTGCGATGAACGGTCTTGAACCACGAGACACTCTTCCGAGGGCGCCAGACTTGCGAATGTACATGGACCACTTGGGAGTTCGATATATCCCCGGGGTACTCCAGATATTCTGCAACCGCATCGCCCATCAGAACCATAGTCCTCTCTGTGTGGCGCCGAGCGGTCTTCGTGCGGTAGGAATACCACACCCTCAAAATAAAACCGCATTGAAGTAGCGTGCACGCACTCACAACCGCAAAGATCTGCGTTCCATAGTGCAGTCCGCACCGCTGGCTAATATCGCTCTCCGCACCGACAAGGCAATAATCGACCTTGGCCCAGAATGGCCATCCCGGCTGGCCTTCCTCCTGATGAGCCCACGCGACAACCGCCCAGTTATCTATAAAGGTACTGGCCCACTCGCGCGTGCACAGGCGGTTGTAGTCAGGGAGGTTGTACGCTCCGCAGATCCACCACGGGGCATGGCTCCAGACATCCCACCCGGTGACCCAGCCGTCGAGTAGAGTGTGGTTGTAGTTCTGCGCCGCGGTGATGTTGGCTGCGACGACCACTAAGGGTCCTTTGGTTGTAAGACCGTCGATGTACGCATCGATACACTCTTGTTTGTTGAGACGGGTGAAATTGGCCATCTGGGTGTAGAGGTCATGCACCGCAGACCAATTCTTGCCGGATAGAGTGGGCGGGATGGGATCCAAGGCCCAATCCCGCCCTACCTTGCGGAAATCACTCGTCACTGTGGCTGTCGCATAGCTCACGACTGGGGTCGATGTGAAGGTGAGCGAGTTCCAGCTAGGACAACCCAGAGGCGAGGTATTAGCATTCTCTCTATCATAGGAACAGTGACAGTAAGAACTTACAATAAATGCAAACAGATCGACAACGCCCCAAGCCCCATCCACTGGAGGAGTCTGCGCGTCTTGATCCAGCGCAGATTGCGAACACTCTGGACTCCGATATCAAGCGACACTCCACAAGCATGTGCCACGTCTATCTCCCGCCGAGACGGGGCAACCAGAATCTGCATACAGTAGCTCCCCGCGCCGAGGAAAAGCGACGACAGCACGTTGAGAACCACGTGGGCGGCGCTATTGATGCTCGTCATCTCCGCGCAGTCACCCATGTGGATGGTCCCGATGCCCTTTTCATCCGGGGGGAAGAACACCAAAAAGCAGATCAGTGTCACCACATTCGCCAGGCAGATGACGGCTGCCGTGATGAACTGGTTGCGCAGCATGGTCGACTGCTTGGATGCGGCGCTCTTGCGCGTGGTGGATCGCACATGGTGCTCGTCGATCTCGGGGATATACTGCCCGAGAAGCCTTTTGCTGGCGTATCTGGGAAAGGGGGTATCCGGTGTGTCGCGGGCCTCATCCTCTCTAGAATCACTCTTACTTCCCTCTTCTGTCTCCTCCTCGTATGCGATGGAGATGCCTGGCGTCAAGATAGCGGGGTATCTTGCCGCTGTGGACGGGGAAAGGAGGGGCTCATCTTCGTGTGCCGGCCCCGGGTCGGGCAGGCAGTGCATTTCGATACTGTGCCTAGAATCCATCGCAACTCGTCAGAGCGTTCACTCGCGCAACGAGGACAGTAGGCCATCATATTGCGTGAGGTTTCCACGTTCCCAGCCACCGTCATGGCGAAACCACATCACGGCTGTATGCCAAGACCCCGGCGCTATAGCGCCTCGGTATTAAGGGCTCTGCCACTCCCCGTCGCCTTATCGAACCCTATCGTTCGCGTGTAGCTAACCTAATGCACATCTTGGCACATGAGCTCTCGATGCTTGCCAATCACATGCGGTACAGACCGGTGACGGCCCGGAGGCTGTGCTTGGCGGCGGCCCAAGCACTGAATGCCAATGCCAAGAGCCAACATCAAACACGGGGCACGCATCATGATGGGCTTACATACAGAAGCTATCGATAAGTTAATCAGGTTCCATACGTTTCAGATGATGAGGAACGTTCTTTGACTGACTGGAAATCAAAGGCAACCACCCGTCAGCGAAGCGTAGCTCTTACTAGAATAGAGTTAGCTATCCGCCTGGCCGATAATATATCCTGAATGTGGGCACAAACAATAGGAAAGAGGGAGCTCAAAAGCAAACCAAATTCTGAAGCTTCTTCGACTAGATGACCAAAGTCTTCTATAATAGCATCGTGAAAGCCAACCTTGAACCTTCACGCCGACGTCGTTAGGGCTTGCGGGCGGTAGGGTAGCCGGGGGCGCCACCCTAAAGACTGCGCTTGCGTACAACATTCAGCCATGCTCTGCACCACGACACACCTGGTAGAAAGCGGCTGAACTGAAATTGCATGGTCTGGCCAATTCTCGAAATAGTGTACCCCTATACGCACGAGACCCTGCAAAGACCCTGTCGCTATACGCTCAATGAGGCTAGTCCGATGATTAGTGCTTACTGAAATGATTGATTCTGTGTGCTTGAATTTAGTTATAAATTTTACTAAGCATCCGAGGTAGGGGAGTATGGAATAACCACTGTGGGATGAATCGGTGCACCTTGAATCTTAATGAGTAATCTGGTCTCTGCACTGTGTTGTATTGTTCTGTCCTGCACTGTACTCTACCTGAATTACTGGGCCGGCCGATTAACAGTAATGAATGTAAATGAGATTCAATCCGTCCCTCGGCCATTGACTAGACCCCTTACCCCCCCATAAACATGAGCCCACGCACGCTAGATAGTACGCTAAATAAACGTTACACTACGCATTACCACGACACAGAAAGGGAGACGGAAGAGCCCGTCTTTGTGTCTTTGCGTCTTCGCGTCTTCGACATCTCCAAGGAACTCCACTCCCCTGACTGCCCGTCGTACAAATCAAGCCAGCCGGAGCAGCCAAACCTGGCGGAGGCGGAGGAAACGGAGAATGAAGAGGACTACCCCATCGTGCGGCTTCCATACAACGAGGACACCGTCGTCGCCCTTGTCAGCGATATCTACCGCATCTACGTCCAACTCGGCTACATGAACAACCGCGCTGATGGTATGGAGGAACTTGTCTGGCCCCCACCCGAAGGCCATTCCATCAATGCAGCCCTCTGTGAGGAGCTCAACCTTAGTCCTAGGGCGATCTCTTTGATGCGACGACTTCCCTATCCTGTCTCCATCGGCATCGCGGCCAATACCCCCTTTCTGCCGCGGTCCACAGCATTCACGTACATTGAAGACCGTCAAATCCGAGACGGTCGCGAGCCCGGTCGCCGGATCTTTGACGAGCTGCGAAAAGACTTCCTTCTCCCGCACGAGATCGCTCTCGCTGGCGCGGATGATGAAGGGATTCACATATCCTTGATACAGAAGAAAGTATGTGTCATGCTGAGCTTCCTCGGCGCTATGCTTTCCTTTGGATCCCGCATCCAGGAGCAAAAGTACCTGCTCACAATTTTAGATACAATCCGAGCACCGGATTGGGAAGAACTAGAACTAGAAGATGAGGACGGCAATTTTATCTTCCGAAGCCTCCCTTCCCATCATGCACTGACATTTCTGGTGGAGTATGTGAACAAGCTCAGATCCCTGGAGATTATCCCTGGGGGTCAAGAGGGCCGTGGCCGCTTCTATGATGTCCATTATGGGAAATTGGTATGTAGCTCTCGTCTATTCTTCGTGTCATGCCTTGTTTCTTAATGAAGAGACCTTTTGCTAATCCGGATTTGGGCAGTACCCGATGATAAAAAGTCCGGCAGGAGCAGTACGGCTGGCCGTATGATTTCCGAGAGACAGAATGGAAGGCCGCGGCCAGGGACACTCTGCAGCGCCTGGAACGGTTATACCCATTCTACTAGGCTACGGCTAGGATAGTGTGAAAATGCATGGTGGCGAAAGCAAGCCGTCAGAAAGAAACCCTTGGATGTTTAGATCTCTGGCCTGAATAAGAGGAACGACGATGACTACTGGGGATCCCACCTCAGCGTCAGGGTGTGTTGAATATTGAGCTTGAGCGGTCTTATCAAGTGCATAGAGTTCACGAGAACAAACTTTGACTGCTTCCCTGACTGCTTCTCCTTCTCCTTCTCCTTCCCCTTCTTCTTATCTTTCCTCTTCTACTATGATACCTTTTTGATGAGAATACCTTGCGGTTTGTGTAGCGATTGGGTGGATTGAATCGCCGTCTGCAGTATCTTCCCCACGCTGCACTGTGGAAACCCGCTCCTGTGTGGGCATAGTGTCTGGAGAACAGACTCCACGCAGGCCACTCACCACGCAATATCAGAACATATAGTGGCGGTTGCTTGGTCGGCATTATCAAACCTGTTTCTGCTCCAGGCAACATTTGTATGATTTCTAATCCGAGTGCGAACTAGACTGTACTCGGATAAGCGGCGGCCGACGCTGACAGCGAAAGCCGCCATCCCGTGACCCGACCTTGATCGGTAGCCCCCCTACACCCAGCATTGCTAAATCACTTATCACACTCACTACAAGTGAAAATGGTGGCAGCTAGTATGTCCAAGGCGGCCAGCGTATGTGCCACCTGTAAGGCTCGGAAGAAGCGATGCGACAAGTCACTGCCGTGCTGTGGCTATTGCGCTCAGTATGATTTCGCTCCTGCTACATCCGAAAGGCATGAATGACTGACGCGCTGTGCACTGTTCAATAGCCGAAACCTGGTCTGTCGGTACCAGAACACCAGCCCTAACCTTCCGCCGCCTACACCAGATGTAAATCTGCGCCGCTCCTTCTTGGCCCAGTCGCCACGTCGCGTTCGGAGAAGTTATGGCGTTGGCTCAGTTGGCACTGCCAGACAGGTCTCACCCCCTGTCCTCTTCGCCAGCCTCGCGTCCAGCCTCCACCTGCCGGCCAACGGGCAGACTCCAACCTCTGCGCCCAGACTTTGCACAGAGACACAACGACTCCTCGAATCAACGGGATTGTATCTGGACGAAATCAGCGTCCGCTATTTCCAAGGGATCCACGCGTTTGTTCCCATCATCTCCCGACGAAGGTTCCATGGTCGTCTCCTGTCCTTCGGGGCCGATCCGCAGTCCGACTTTGCCCTACTCTTACTATGCATGGGGCTTCTCACCAAATCGACGGACCGGCTCGGACAATTAAGCCCACAGCGGCCCCACCATCTTGCGGAAAAGATGACACTCTACGTCGCCACCAAGTCCCTGATGGCCCAAGCGCATGCCCTTCTTCCACTCACGACCCATCTCATTCAGGCCGGCGTGCTCCTAGCGGTCTACGAGTACGCCCTCGGATATCCGGAACGGGCGTTCGTGACCATCGGTACCTACGCTCGTATGGCCTATGCGGCGGGGATACGGTCCACCCCCTGCGTATCTGATACAAGCACCACTCGCACCGACTGGCTCGAGGAGCAAGAGGAAAATAATACATGGTGGGGGATCCGAATATGTGAGCGGTGCGTGACGCCCCCTCATCCTTGACCCGAAAGTCCAACCCTGACCCCAACAGAACATTTCTTTGCGAACTTGCCGTACTGAATCAACCACTGGCGTCGGTGATGCCAGCCGGGGACGTCCATCTTCCGCTTGAGTCCCACACCCTCGATCAAGACAGCCCGACCGTGGCACTTGCGTCCAGTGTTGCAGTCCATGCCTTGGACGCCCCTGAGATTGGCGGCTTCGGGCGCGCCGCGCAAGCCGCATGGCTGCTGGAGGACGTACTGCGGGGGTTATGCTTCGCGGATCCGGATCGCCAGCGAGGTCACCTTGTCGAATGCGACCGAGCACTGCAGTCTTTTCTCGCTATGCTCATGCAGCAGAACGGAGGCGGGTCGTGGGGGGAGTTCTGCGTGGCGATTGCGCTGACGATCCGGTGCGTCCTCCGCTCCCATTTTGCCTGGTCATCCAGTCGCTATGCTAACAATCAACGTAGTGCGTTGTTCCTTCTCCATACTCATCTTCTCGCACGGTGCGCCGCAACCTCCTCGGATGACACCCAGTCGGCTGTTTCTCAGTTAGCTTTGGACACGATCACCAAAATAGTGGTGGACATTGCGGCCACCCGGGAGCATCTGCCGGAAAGTCAGATCGACCATCTCCCTCCAAGCTGCATGTATATTATCCGCGCGGCGTTAAAGCATCTCCATGATGTGGTTGCTCGCGGGACGACGGCGGATGCACAGCTGCGGACTACTCTAAGAAAACTAGAAGGTCGGTGGGGCGGGGGCTGTCCAGCCGTTTGACTCGGTCTGCAGTGGCGTAGAGCGCCGGAATCAGCCGATATGTAGTCCTAAGTGTTTTTTCCTTCAAATATTGTGGAGAATAGATGCAGTCTATCCTTCATGGTCCAGAAAAATGGCTCAGTTACATCCTCAACCACCGTAGCACTGATTGCAAGGCAATCGAAAACCAATCTACCTCCGCAGCCGTAGCCCACTGTACCCTCAGCACAACCCTAATACGTCGCCTGCATCACCGACAACCTCCCTCCATCCGTCACCAGAATCGACCCATTGGAATAACTCCCCGCCCGACTGGCCAGATACAGGATTGCACCGGCCATCTCCTCGTCCCCACCGAACCGTCGCGCCGGGACGAACCGCTGATCCTCGAAGGGCTCGTCCTCGGGGGTGCGGGTGTTGATCAAGCCCGCCGCCAACTCGGAGGGATAAACTGTCGTCCGTGGTCAGCACAAAGAACAAATGCACACAGCACATCAATACTCGCAAGTTCACCCCCGACTAAATGACACCTCACCAGGAAAACAACAGGATCAAAAAACAAGATCAAAAAAAAGTGTAAGATGGATAGTAAAAAAGACACCTACTCCCCGGCGCCAGCGCATTAACCCTAACCCCAAACCGCGCCAGCTGCGTACTCGCATGCTTCGCAATCTGCATGACCGCCACCTTACTCGCCAAATACGGCGGCGACGAGGTCCAATGCCGACTGAAGGCCGAGATACTGGTCGTGAAGATGACCTGGCTCGGGATCGCGGGAACAGCACTGCCCTCCCGCAGGGGCTTGCCGTACCCGCCCTGCAACGCACGCGCGTTCCCCGCATCCAGCAACTCCAAGAATGCAGTCATGGTGAAGAACGCCGCGGTGATGTTCAGTCCCAACGCATCGTTCATCCCCTCCATGGAGAAGTCGGTGAACAGCGTCTGCCGCAGTTCCGCCAGCGAGGCGGTCGGGCCGAAGCGCACGGCCGGGCCGATCGTGCCGGCGTTGGCCACGACCAGGTTCACGTAGCCGGTCTCGGACGCGATGCGGTCCACCGCCGCCTGCAGGGCGGGCTTGGAGGTCACGTCCGTTGGGTGCGGGACGATGATCCCGGGATACGCGGCGGCGGTCGTGGTGAGGGCGTCCTGGCGGCGGCCCAGGATGTAGACTCTGCGGGCGCCGTTGGCGGCGAGGGCGTGGGCCATGGTTTGGCCGAGGCCTTGGGGCACGGTGGTTAGTGTGGGGGTCTTGTAAAGGATGAAGGGTGGCATGGAACGCACCGCTGCCGCCGCCGGTGATTACGGCGACGAGGCCGTCGACGCGGAAGAGGGTGTTTGAGTCGAGGGCTGGTGTCATATTTGTAGACTGTGCAATCTATGCAGAGACAAAGGGTGCTAGGTGTCGCAGAGCAGTGATGTTCGGGGTCTTTGAATGTCTTTGAATGGATGGGTTAGTTGAAGGTTGCCAGGAACAGCGACGAGCAGGCTTTATATCACTATTCGGGCTGGTTGATGATGTGATATGCGGAGGGCAGCGGATTGCACAATTCGCAGGGAGGATACTGGAGTGGGACTGCGGAGAAAGAGGCAAGGTCAGCATGTTTTCCTGAGGATAGGCTTGGACCCAGTGCAGGCATGTCTATGTATGCTATATACAGTACTCTCTCTCCGACGGCGGCCGCGGTGGCGGGCGGGCGGCCGACGCTACTAAGCCCTAAGCCATAAGCAGTCTTCAATCTTCGCCACCTGTAGTGTAATACCGCTTATTCCAGACCCAAGCACGGATCAAGCAGGGGGCTAGGTCCTGACCGTCGGAGCTGACCAGTCCAGCAGATGACGGGATCTCACCAGATCTAGATAGCGACTCTGCAGGCCCATCTACTAGGTACGGTACAGTACAGTACAGTGCATACTCAAGAGACAGTACCGCCACTGCCTGCAGTACTCCGTAGTAGAGTCCGCAACCCTAAGCCAGGCGGCGATTGTGCACATGCTGCTGGGCTGGGAGGGCGTCGCCGCGCTGGCGCTTCGCTGGCTTTCCGAGCGGCTGATCGGGGACAAATTGCGATCGTTGATCTTCTGCGTGCCGCTGGAGCGGATGTGGATATCTATGGCGTGGATGGAAGAACGGTGTGGGGACAAGAGATCAAATCTCACCGAATGAGCACTGAGAGACTGGGCAAGATCTTCATGCCTTGGGCACGGTATGCCAGTCAGCCGGAATACCCAAATATCTAGCGATCCGACACGATGTTGGGTAGGGTGCCTCTCCATTCTCACTCTATACGACTAGCATTTACACAGACTAGAGTGTCATCTATCTCCATTTAAACAAACATACCCAGTCCTCCCTCACACACAAACCAACACTAAGAAATCTCCCGCACCGCAAACGACCCACACCCCGAATTCCCAACCGTGAACCCCCCGACCCCATCTCCCAACTCCACAGCCGCCGTATCCCGATTCGACGGACTACACGTGGCGTTGTTCGCATCCCCCGGCAGCAGGAGGTAGCATCCGGCTCCCTCCGCTGAAAGATACCCGGCACACGGGGTCGAATGATCGATACACGCAACGCAGCAGTCGTACGGCGTTGACGCCGAACTGGTCTCGTAGTTTCCCGTGACTACCACCTCGGTGATGCTGCGTCCGTTGACGGTGCTGATCTGGTTGTCGGCGCCGCAGGCCGCGTATTGGGTTTGGGCGGGGGCTTGGACCGTTGCGGTGTTTGTTGTTGTCTGGTCGTTTTAGTATTGGTTATGGCTGTGGGAAGTATGGGGTGAAGGGAGGGGGGAGGGGTTACCTCTGTGGAGGTGGTGGTGGTTACAATGGCGGTGGATTGGAGGAAGTCGGTGGTGAAGGTTATGGTTGTGGAGGCGGGAACGGGAACGAGGGTTATTGCTTCTTTCTGTCAGTATTTTCTTTCGAGGACTGAGGGGAAGGGAGGGCAAGGATGGTTACTTGTGGTGATGAGCGCGGTTGATGTAGTTGTTTTGGCGGACGGGGTGACGACCACGGTGTGGGTCTGCGTGGCTGGTTTGTTCACGGTGCTGGTGGAGAGCACCTCGACTAGGCCTACGCAGGTCACGACGCTGGCGTAGCTGGGTTCTGCTTCCACGACCGCGGTGGATTGGGCCGCGTGGATGGTGATTGCCTGGGGGGTGGATGCGGCGTTGGCTTTGACGAGGGCGGTTTGCTTGACCCCTTGGATGGTGGCGGAGGATTGGCTCAGTGCCGAGGCAGGCGTGAAGCCGGCGGGGGCGGGCACGGTGGTTGTGGGTGTTGAGGTGACCTGTTTATGGTTAGGCTTGGAAAGACTCTAATTGTTTCGAGGGGTTATTACTGTCGTGTCACTCGTGACGGTTTCAGTGTCCGTGACGATGTCTTGGACCGTTAGGATTATGGTGGATGTGACGGTGGTGGAGAATGTGCTTGTGCTCTGGTCGAGGATGGTGGTTGCAGAGACAGTATCCGTCACCACCGAGGTGATGGTCTTCGCGGCGGCGGTTGAAGTCACGGTGGGGGTTGACGTGGTCGTGAGGACGGCAACACTGGAGGCAATTAGCTCAAGCTCAACCCCCGGAACTTTCCAAGAGGTTCATTAGGTATGGTTGCCTACCTTGTGGCAGTAGAAACACTGTTGACTGTTCTGACCGTGCTGCAAGACGTGGACGCGTATTGAGTATTGCAGAGCTCAAACGAGGTCGTAGTTGTGGCCTTGGCTAGGGCTGTCGAAGCCGCCGCCAGCAACGAGATCCAGTACATCATCGCTGTCATTATTCCACCCAACGGAAGTATATCTGCGAAAAATTGAATATCTCAAGCATATATTCTGATACTCATCCGCAAGGCTAGCTGTGAGGATAATAAAACTTTCTTTTCCCACCTGGCAGGGGTAGCCCCTTGTTATACGCTGCATTGCTAGTCAACGGGTTCGTTACTGCTTAACCTTAAAGAATGCATCCTAAGTGGGCCAATGGTCCAGGCAGGATTCTTCCGCCAATGAGTTTAGGAAGGCCACACTAGTGGCCGTTGAAAGAATGTAAAGTCAAGTAGGGTTAAGGGATTTACAAGGTTCGTCGGCAGCCCACGCGATGCGTAACCCTAACCCCTTGCTTGCCCCTTCAAATTGTACAGATGAATGAAAATAGGAATCGGTTCCACATGATCAATTGTACCAAGTTGTATTTATTGCGATGTAAAAATTAGTCGGGCTCTACCCAACAGCCAAGCCAAACTAACTAAACCTCCTCCTCCTCCTCCACGGATAGATTCTCACTCTCCTCCTCCTCTCCCTCCACAGACATATTGACCTCTGGACTCAGAGCCACATCCACAGGAGAACCCTCATGCACATCCTCCAAATGCCTGTTCATCGCCTTCCAGGACCCGACCAGCCGCCCACATTGGGTGCAGACCGCACCCGCCAGGCCCAGCAAATGCTGCTCATTCATATGCATCAACCACGGCCGCCCGGGCACCCGGTGCACCGAGCAGGTGGGACACGGGCGCAGGCGTGAGAGGGCCGCAGCATGGGCGTGATTCAGGTGGGCGCGCAGGGTCGCGATGCCGGAGTAGCAGTTCCCGCAGGGGGCACTGGCAGCAGTCCAGGGATCTCCCGTGGGCCTGGCGGTAGTGGGCCCGCAGCATGGTCAGGTGCTGGTAGGATTTGCCGCAGGGGAAGAGGTGGGCGGGGCGATTGCCCTCGCCTTCCACTTGCACCTTGAAGGTGCACTCGTACCGCCCGTCGGGGGTTTCGCGGTAGGCGTAGTGGCCGCTGGCGCTGACGCTGTCGGGAGCAGCAGGGACCGGCCACGCGGTCCCGCAGGCCGGGCAGGCCGCGCCGAGCGCCTGGGCACAGGCACTGTGGCAGGCCTTGTGGCACGTCGCGCACCGGCGACATGGGTGCGGGTTCGGTTGCTTGCAGATCTGGCAGGCGGCGTTGCCGGCCTGCAGGACGGGCTGTTCCTCGCGCGGACGCAGGACGGGCCACGCGACTCCGCAGGCCGCACAGGCGTCGCTGTGCGTCCGGGCGCAGCTCTCGTGGTAGGTCTGGCTGCACGCCGGACACTGGTACCACGCGCGGGGGCGGGTTTTCCGGCAGATGTGGCAGCGGGCCTTGCGCTTCGGGGGCTCGACCGGGTGAGGCGGGTCCATGTCCTGCTCGGGATGTCCTGGGTCAGTGGGAGAGGACATTGTCGCGGTCGGTGGAGTCTGGTGCGGATTCTGGTGAAGGTTAGCTCTATCGGTGAGATGCGAGACAGGGGTTGTTTGTCGGTCTCGATGGGGGAAAGGGAGCAATGCAGATGGTTCTTTTATACACCTCGGATGCACGCCATTAACCCGGGCTGGAACCGGAGTATAACACACTATTCCATTGAGATCGATGGAGAATTGCACCACTTGTTATCTGTGATGAGTACACTCTCCTGTGGCTAGACGATGAGAAGAAAAACTCCCTTGAGGCTGTCGGTATAAGTTGAATGTCTTGTTGCCTTTTGTTAGAGGCGGCTGAGAGGTCTGGTCTCAGGTCTGATGACGGGGGACACTCTTGGTCGATATCTCGTCGAGTACTCAGGTTCCGTATATGCAACAGTACTTCCCCGCTATCCTACAGTAGATGGCCTCTATACTGCTTCTGTCAAGCAAATGCACCGGAAGTCTACTGAACTCGAGATTTTAGCTATAGCATCTCTCTGCTCATTGGTCAAGGAAAATGCACGTTGTTCGCTGTGGTATGGTTAATCTTGTAAAATACATCTTACTATCTCTTTCTACACGCAGTATGAACATTGTATACTGAGCCCACTTGCGTGCCATTCTGTGTTCAGGGTAGTTCACATGACCACCTTACTGGATCGAGGTTGTACATGTATATCAGATACCTGCGCTGCAAAGTTCAAGCACAACTCGTCATGTATAACCTCTCCGCATTTGAATTTGAATTGTATCTAGTTCGACCCATTTATCTTCCTCTTTCTCCCTGCCGACACTTTAGCAAAAACCATTCCTTTCCATCTTCCATCTCCGACCGACCAGAAGCTTGCATCGATCCTGCATCGTGCAAACCACAAAACGTTATGAATCAGAACCAGATCCCTGATCCTTATATCCAAGACCACATCATCCATATTCGTACACACAACAATGCTACGATCGGAAATCCCACTTCCGCCAACCGAGCAATCCCGAACCCTCGCGCTTCCCCAAGAATGAGGGGGTCAGCATTCCACGCACCGCGCCCCTTACTTAACCGACGACGACCCCTGTCCTGTCCAGAGAACCCACAGATATACAAATATTGCGTCTATAATCTCGCACTTTTCAACATTATGTACAGTCCACGATCTCATACTCATATTACATTCGTCGGGCCATGTATATCATCAAGGGTCCCGAGCCATCACACGCACAGAAGAAATAAAGACATTAAACCCCCACCCACTTAGCCCTCATCAACCCGGTATCCGAGCATCAAACCACAGATACCGCGCAGCTCCGAAAACCAGCCTACCGCGCATTCAACCCATCCAACTCATGCACCTCCGTCGTGCGGGGCTGCGTACTGTCCAACTCGGGGATGGGCTGCACCTTCGTCGGGGCCGACAGGCCCAGCCCGTGGGTCGGGCGGAGATGGTCCTCGCCGCGGGAGTAGATCTCGGAGACGGGGCGGCCGTCGGGGCCGATGTGCGAGGCCGGCGGGGACATGGTGAAGCCCGCCGTCGAGCCGGAGGGGTATTTACTGGCCGGATCGGGGCTGCTCATGTGCGAGTCTGTTGGGTCTGGTTAGTTTGCTGCGCTGCAAAAAGAAGCGGATCAGGGTGATGCTGAGGGAGGGGGTGGGGACAAACCTTGATACGGCGAGGATAACGGACTGTGGTATCCATACTCGCCGGGATACATGTGCTGGCGCTCGGCTTCGGCGGCGGTGGCTTCCCGGCGACGGCGACGGCGGAGGAAGAAGATGGCAAATGCAATAAAGGCGACGAGGGCGGCGGCCCCGATGGCGATGCCGGCGATCGCGCCGCCGGACAGGCTGGAGTGATGGCTTGAGGAATCTCCGGGGGAGGAGGTTTGTGTGGAGGTCGGGGACGCCGTCGCCGTGGCTGTCGCGCTGGCGTTGTCCTGGAAAAGCTTCAGCTGGCCGGCGGAGGAGGAGCTCCAGGCTGCGGGCAGGAGATCGTCGTCCGGGCACCCGTCGCCGCAGGGGTTGCTACTGCAACATCCCAAGAATTTCGGGGAGGTGCCATTGCATGTATACCAGTCGGAGCTGGGGTTGTCGAGGCAGCGGTTGGGGAGGATCTCGTCGAAGATGGCGCCGTTGAACGAGGCGGCGTACAGGCTGGGGCAGGCCGGGCTGGTGGTGTTGTGGCACGGGTCCGACGCACAGCAGCCCACAAAGTACGGCGCCGTGTCGCAGACAAACCACGAGCCGCCGTTGGGGCAGGTGAAGTTGCAGTCCGGCGAGGAACCGCTTTTGCAGGAGGTCATGGTGGTGGGTGAGAGTGTGAGTGTGGGTGTGATCGGTGCGGTGTCGATGCAGAAGTGTGAAGAACAGTGCAGCAGGGTTCGGTGTGTTTCGGTCGCAAAAATGTCAACAAGGGTTTTGCGACAGCCCGCGTGGGAAAGGGTCAATTCCACCAGAAAAGAAAGAGCAGTCCTGTCAGCCCCACTGTCAGCAAAACGCTGCGGCCGACTTTATTTAACACGGATGACGATCACGAGCCCAGTGACCCCTAAAATCGTGGCCCGCATGGCATAGCCTTCGTGCCCGGCGGTGATTGGCAGGACGATTACGGGATTCGGTGCCCAGACTTGCTCCGTAAGGTTGTCAGCCTCGTCCTCCCACTGAACCCGGTGGGTTGAGTTTAATAATAATGCCAAGTAAAGGATAGACCATCAGCCACGATTTTAGCCTGGGGGCCGCTCCGCCTGCTTTTTGGCTTTTTTGGCGGTGCCAAGGTCGTGGCTCATGCGGCTAGAGATAGGATACTACGTGGGTGTGGTGAGGCTCCACGCGTTTCATGTTTCGAGGTCAAACAGTTGCCCAGCAGCATGAGGGTGGTTCTTCAGGTCTGAGGATGCTGGGATTGAAACTGCGTCAGAATACGAGGCCGGGCAGATGGGCTCCATAAAAAGGCCCAAACTCTCTAGAGGGGAAAGGATGCTTACTTTTCCTAAGCGGGGTTACGGTCCACGATAGCTTCTTCCTTCGCTCCCGCTCCTTTTATCACCAGGATCCAGAAGCAGGGACACAGCCCCGGAGCAGCCCCGGAGCCGGCAGGATGGAGATAAAAGTGGGTGAGACCCTGAGTCTAGGTGGTGAAGAGATGAAATGCTCTCTCTTTTAGTCCGTGGAAATCCTTAAAGATAGGTGGGAAACCGGTTGATCCTGCAAACTGGAGCATTGACAAGAGGCAGATAGGGCTAACCTCAGTGGCTTTTCTCAGCGGTGAGCCGGGCGGTGGGTGGAGACGCAGGATGCAGGGTACTTCGGAGGTGGTTGTTCCGACCCGGGCCCACTGTCTTATCCCCCATTCCCTCAGCAAACAGGCCAAACAACCATCCCTTTCTATACTCGCTCCAGCTCATCCCATCAAGGTCTGAACAAATATGAATCTGTCTCCCTCGTCTCTCTCTCTTGGACCTCGAAAATCAGATTCCTCCCCTAGGGTGAAACTTCTAAAGTGTGCAAGTTGCCCGACAGCCCCGACTCACCCGGGCTTCGGGCTTCGGCGGAGCCGAATAGACTGTGTTTGACCCGCTTGGAATCCACCTTAATGGTGCTGCTATAGCTTAATACGAGACCGCCAATCAGATTCTGACGGAGTCTTGTTGAGCACAGAGTTGCATCTGGGTCAATCTCGAATCATGTGCCCAGACCACGTGATTTGGTTGAGAGTCAATCTGAAAAAAAAGAAATCGGGGAAAGTAGAAGAAAAGATAAGGCGAACCACAGTAGGCAAGGTATGCAGAACAAGGGTGGCAAAAAGCCTTTGGGATTTCAATGAACGCTCAAAATGTCTGATCTGCAGCTTTGAAGCTCAGAACCCAGTGGAAACTAGATCAGTGTTAGGAGGAAGTATATATCACCTACCTGGCTGAAGAAAACGGTCAGTAGACTCACATGACCTGATCTCTCTGGCCACGAGCCCGGTTTACTTAGCCAAGCCTGAATGCTTCCACCTCTCGGGTACCTGACCTCTTCGGGATACGCAACCCCGCTGTAGGTAGTTAACTTGTTTGAGTTAGCGGAGTGACTGCCAAGGAGGGCACTCTTAGGCCACGTGCATCAACAAGTTTCCTGGTGACGGCAGCCCAACTTGCTTCTGAGATCACCGTTTCATTAGTCACGGTCAACTGCATAGAATGACATCAGGCAGTCATGTCTGGTCGAAAGGCGCTCATGTCGAATTACGCACAGAGGTTCCGGCGCAGGTAGGTAGCCCACTCCATCCAAACGGCTAGTACCGCTAAAATCCTTTCCCCGGTTACAAGGCCACCGGCAGGAACAGACATTCCGGTCATTCTGACAGGGACTTGTGGGGCGCGAAACGGGTGAGCGACGGGTGACACGTTCCTGGTTAACCACTCAGCACCAGCGCAGGAACGAGTGACTGCTTCAAACCAGTTTCTGGCCAGGTCTAGGCCCAGAAGCTGTCGGGGAAAGAGGACTGGAGGAAGAAGCAGGCAATCCGCTTGGATTGACACTGGTTGAGCACGAACTCACGGCGACGCAAGGAAAGATGAGCGTGGCTACCTAGTAGTTGTCGCTGCTTTTTCTCTAGTAATCTCATGGTCTCACAGTCCACGGCACCTGCCCACCGTGCTGGCTTTGGCCGGGAGAATCCCATATGAAGCATTCTATGGCAAGCAAAGAATCCTCGATCGGCCCATCCTACACCGTCTGAGCCGTTTTCTGGCATAGGTCATTCGTCCTCTTCGACACACGCGCTGATGGAAAGCAAAGATGAACTAGTTGACTGTGACAAGACAATGAATGCATCTGATCGAGCAGATCATTCATATTCATCATCACCTCCTTCGAGTCTAGATATGGCTTCCATCAATTCTTCTAAAGATGAGGCTATTGCTCGCTTTGAAAGGTCGAGAATGGAATACAGAGCTGAAAGACTCGCGGGAGAGGCAATAGATCCAAAGCGCCGACGACCAGTAGCAAAGGATGCGGGTTCAGAAACCATGAAAGCCAGCGCCACCCGCTCGCAAGAAGCCGCGGGAAACGAGGCTTCAGTCATCCCACCCCGCAAGAAGTCGAGTGTTAAATTCAGGGATGCAGTAGGAAGGAGCCTTTCGTCTCCATTCGACGCATGTCGTACATGCGAAATATGAAATGCCCATCCCATCCGGATGTCCTTTGCTAATTCAAATCGGTTCAGGGCATGGAAAGTCTCATAAAACAAACCTTTTTATCCATGGACGAACTAGCCTCTCGCGTTGCGGCACGGCGTTACGACTTGGTAGGTCCTAATGAGCATATAATTCTACCTCAAGATTGGGAAACTCTGAATGAACCAGGTTGGGTTATCACCATGCATGTGTGGCTACTTCCAGAAAAGCCAGTCACGCCTTCGTCACCAGGTGAATCCTCGGTTCCACCAGCAATTGCGGCGGTTTCAATAGAGTCCACGAGCCCAGAAGCCGCAGATAAGTCTTTTTTCTGACTGTGAACCGCTCTTTGTGCATCGGATCACATTATTTAGCCCGTCTACTAGAGATAGCAGGCCACAAAATGCCTCGACCACGGACGCGCGATCCTGAGGCATTCGCGTTGTGGATGGTGGGGGGCGATAGGTCGAGGTTAGATAAGGCTCTCGAAGGGGGAGAGTAATTGGCCTCACTGTACGTCTTGCAATCAACGAGAATGGCATAATTTGTTCTTAACAGAAAATTGAATCGGGCCATGGGGCAGAGGATTGGGAGAAGCGCTAATATCGACAAGTGTCAGCCCAAAAATCCATGAATATCTTACCACGTGCTTAAAGGTAGAATCTCCACCTTGGTAAACTACTCACAACCTTGTCGATTGCGAGCCAGGATGAGATAATAGTACATATGGCATATCATAAGTGGGAAGAAGCTTGGTTCAAGAGTGAATGAGGCAACTAACCCACTAACCACCATGAAGGTACTGTACAGGGTGTTGTATCTGAACAAGGAAGTTGTATGTACTAACTGACGACCTCCTTTTCTCCGCTTCTTTTCACTGCACCATCCTGATGATAATACTTTATATATGCAAGTTTCAACAATCACACCAGAGCAACACCACTCGGCAACCCAAAGACCTGAGTATCCGCCTCCAGTAAACAAGCGCCCACCAGGGCGTCTCCCTCCGTCAGACACTCGCCGGTCTTCGCATTCCTCAGATTCCCGGAGATGGCATACTCCCACTTCTGGTCCACACCTCCCTTGCAAGCCTGCAAGCCCACCTCCCTCGACGCAGCCGTCAAGCACAGCGCCGTACTCGACAGCGGCCGCAATGAACCTTGCGCAGTAACCTGCCAGACCTGCGCATCCAGGGCCTCACACGTCTCAAACCCGACTTTCTCCCCCTCCCCAGCCGTCAAACACCGCCCGGACGCGGTATTAAACACGATGCCCGTGGGGACCACCTCACAGCTCGCCGGAACCCTAACCCGCCAGACCCCCGTCGCATGCGCCTGCAACCCCTGCACCACCAACCTCCCCTCCACCCTCACCACCCCGCCATCCCACAGCTCCTCCGCCTCATACACACAGCCCGGCTGCAACCCCAACCTCTCCACGCTCACCCCCAGATCCACGGTCTCATTCCCGCGATTCAGCACCGCAACGACCCTCCCCCCATCTCCCAACGACCTAGTCAGCACATCCACCCCCTCCCCGACCCCCCTAACCGCCAGCGTCGCCTGCAGCCCCAACCCATCCTGATCCACGGCAATCAACCGCTCATTCCGCAACACCTCAAGCACCTCCCCCTCCAACCCCGGAATAAAGGCACTAACAATCAACGGGGCGCCCATAACAGCCCACAATGCAAAATGGCTCTTCTTTTCGGTCAGCGTCAGGCCCGGATGATCGGGGATCAAGAAATCGGGATCATTGAAGTACCCCGGGCGCTGATACCGGGCCAGCAGCACGTTATAGTCGTAGTTATTCAGAATACTGTCCCACGCGCTGCCGGCGCCGGCATACACCAGGATATCCGTCGAGTGGCGCGCCAGCTCGCCGTACCGCGGGACCCAGTCCATGACCCGGTACCACTCGGTGTTATTCCCGGTGCCCGCGAAATACGCCGGCGCCGACTCGGAGAAGATCAGGGGTTTGCGGGATTGTGCGGCGGCTTGGGTGGTCAGGATGGTGTGCCAGTTCGCGTAGCGAGCCCGGTATTCCTGCTCGAGGGTGCGGTTCGCAGCGGGGAAGACGTTGCATCCGTCCAGTTTGAGGTAGTCGATTCCCCAGGCGGCAAACGTGGCGGCGTCCAGGGCTTCGTGTCCGTAGGAGCCTGGGTAGCCGCCGCAGGTGGCGTTGCCGGCGTCTTGGTAGATGCCGAGGGAGAAGTTGAGGGAGCGCAGGTGCGTGGCGAGCCAGGGGATCCCTCGCGGGAATTTGGTCGTGTTCCAGGTTAGGGTGCTGTTGGGGAGGCGGGCGGTTTCCATCCAGCAGTCGTCGAGGTTGAGGCGCGTGTACCCTGCGGCTTGCAGGCCGGTGGTTTGCATGGCGGCTGCGGTGGTGACGAAGAGGGTTTCGTTGAGGTCGCACATGAAGCGCGACCAGTTGTTGAAGCCCATCGGTGGGGTGGGGA